TGGTATAGCGGAAAAGAAAAATCAAAATAAATGGAAAAATATCTGGTCCGGAAATTTCAGGTCCAAATCAAACACTGTGAATACAAATGTAAAAAAATTAAATATAAGTATTTCTAATGCTACTTCAAAACAAATGTGTCCCGCACTATAAGGTCGTTGATCTCCTTCGCTCTTGTGTTTATTACACGCCAAGGCCAAGGAAGCGCGTGTGTAGTGTCATGGAAAAATTTCCATTTTGAAAAATTAATATTTCTTCTGCTTCTTTTAAATAATAATAATAACGTACACACTCATAGCTCCGCACTAAGGAGACTATATCCGACAAACTTCGAATATTTTGTATAATTTTTCCACATTTGACAGTTGCCCTGAACGAAAATAACGGAGCCAATCATTGACTTGTAAGTCAATGGAGCCAATGGAGAGATTTTTTTTACCAACGATTTTTTTTAAATGTAATATTGAACCGTATTGCTGCCTATATAGAGTATTATACTCTGCAACGGAAACAAGCAGCTTGATTTATTTGCCTCTCCCGATCGGAAACTGCGTCTCATCCGAGTCGAGGCGCATAATTGCGATTCGCAACTGGCCGATCGGAAACTTTGACATTTCAAATCGGAACAATAGTTGATTTAACTTTCCATCATCTAAAGATTTAACTCACAAATTAGAAAGATATAGTAGGAATCAGCAGCTTGATTTTGATTGCCTCTCCCGGTTGGAAACTGCGTCTTTTCCAAGTCGAGGCACACCCCGGACAATCCATACAACGGCCGAAAATTATTTACTACTACTACTACATATGGCAAGGCGCTATCTGCACACGTGCAAATGTTTGCGTGAACTGGCAGGATTACTCATCACTTGCTCGTACTATTTATTACGTTACGTGGTCAGAGCGGCATTCTGTTATCTATAATTCTATAATAGAATCCTAATAATTACACATATCCATTACGTATTTATATATCGATATATAATATCATATTTTTCATTAATTAACTAACTGGAATAATATTGAAGATATTAAAACTCTTAAAATGTAATATTTTGGACAGGTACCTTTAAATAAAGTAACCAAAGTATTTGAAATTGCGTGTCCAAGTTTATCATTACCTAGTTAATAATTAGGTATATTCACTACATAATATTTTATCAACAATACAATTTGAAAATTCGAGAACCCTTTTCTAGCTCACGAAGTTATGGCGTCTTATTTACTCTGCCCTAAAAAAAACAATAACTGAATGAGTCTCAGACATCTCTCTATCCCTTTTAGATGATTATAAATAGCCTTACACAGCACAATTCACGACCATTATAAATAGTAACGTAAAATTATGTTATATATTAACGTACAAATTTCGTAATGACAAAGTAAAAGCCATATTCAAATATCAAAGCCGTCTTCGAGCGAAAACGGCTCGCCGACAGCCTTTTTCTCGTTCAGTCAATGTGACCGTCAATGTGCGGGGCGCGGTGCGGTATCTAAAGTTAGGGAGGGGCGGAGAGTGTCCGTTCTCATTACTTATTTGTTCTGTGGTCGAGGCGTGTAATATTGCGGCGGATGGACTACCCGATCGGTTCAATTCCGATTTGAATCAAAATCACCATGCAGATTTCTCGCGAGTGCCCGCTTGAGCAGCGCAAGCACGCGCAAAGTCGCAATGGCTATTACCGTCAATCGCGAGACTGTCGGGTACGTACGAATTGAGATTTAAAGAAAAGATGGCTTCATCTGATTCTTCTTCCTTTAACATATTTAATAATAATAATTTACAGGACACGTTACTCAGCCGCGTGTTTATCGCTAGACAAACTGAACACCACTAAATCTTCTATTAATGGCAATTTTTTGTGGAAATAGGCCAACAAGATTTCAGTTCTCGTCTCGCATTGTCTCGCCTTGCTATTACGTCTTTTACACGACGACATTTCAGACCTATCATGTCCTAGTACAGGATAATTTGCCCAGTAGTAATAATCAAGTAACGATGGGAATCTTTGACTTGTAGGAACCTCAGACAGCATGTCTAGTAATTCCCATGCTCTGAGTAATAAGAGTCAGAGTTAGGTACTTAGAGGATAGAAAAAAGTACAGGAAGTTAGGTATCAGACTAACCTATTTGCCATAATATCTATCTGTAAATAATGACCAAACAATTGAAATTTTGTATTGATTTTGTCATATTTTTGATTTTCAAGTCACTTATCCGTTTTGGACCCACTATGTAACCTACATTTCGTAATTTTGGGAAAACAAAAGTTCCGTTTGTAGGTACTGCTACTTACTTTTGTAGTACTTCTTATGTACCTTAGTAGCAGTAGAACGCCTTGTGAAAGAGTTCGTCCAGGGTAGCACTGCCGCCTTAACTATTTCTGCCTCCAAGCAGTAATGTCAGCATTACTGTGTTCCGGTTTTGAAGGGTAAGGGTGCTGGTGAAATTACAGGCACATGGGACTTGTCAACTTATGACTTAGGGTGATGAACACAGTGGCATGGCTCCCACATCTTTACGATTTAAAGCTCTGAGTGGCACTATAACTGTTATGGACAGGCGTGTAACTTACGATCAGGCGCACGACTTGTTCATCCTGTCACTTAATATTATAAACAAAATCTAATGATTTTTATTCTTTGCACATATCGAAATTAACTGAAACTATTGGTGCACGACCTGCTATTATCTACGGCGAGAGGCTTCCTTATCTATCGGGCTTTATGTTTTCATGTCGACTTCCAAGACATGAGATTTTTGAACACTTATAGATATACAAAATGTCAGTAAATATCAGACATAGAAAATATCTATTTTATTTTTACTGCATATCGTGTTACTTTAATTTATTTGTGCTTAGTACGTAAAGCTATAATATTATATTTTATGTGAAATAGAATTGTCATATTATTTATTCCGCACTGCTTTCTACAAGGCTATGATCACTACCATACCACTTAAGAGTTATCTGCACCGCGAACAGCACCCCGCAATGATCCCACTGTAATAGTATTGTTATTAAGAAACCTTGCGCAGTGATAAATAAAACGCGTTGTAATGTTTCGCAGTGCGGACTCGGCTCGTTAATTAACATGCCACCCGTATCATAAAAGCGCTCAATTTGGTCGTGGTAGTAATGTAACGGTCGTGTATTTAAAAGGCAAAACTAATTGGTGAAAAGTAAAAACAGAGTACCTTAGTATATTAATTTTGATTTCATTATACAGAACCCCTTTTGTATGTCCTCGGGTCAATATATTTACGTCAACACTAGGATACTACTTTTAAGCGCGGGAATACACGACCGATTTCGTATCTGATCATCGGATCCGACTATCGGATCGGATTCACTCAATACACGTCCGATAGGCGTCCAATTCTCTCGTCAGACTTTTTCTGAACTAACTGCAGTGTTGCCAATTTATGGGGAATTCCCCAAATGCAGGGAATTTCATTAATAATAACAACATTTATATGGAATTATTAGCAAACCGCTTATATGTATAAAATTATCCAGTAGGATTATAATCACTTTATCTTGTATTGTAAAATTACTACTATTATCAGTCACCAACAAGAACTCTACTGATGGCTCTCAGCTACCGTCGTCCATATGAAATCGACAGCCGGAGCCTTATCGATATAAGGCTCGCAACTTCGCAACAACCATCCGAATCGTCAAATTGGTCAACTTGTCAGACCACTCGAGGCTCGCCTCATATAAACACCAGTGTGGTGAAACCCGTTGCAATTTCATCGGGACCCAGAACTCAGTGGCCACTCCATTACGGCATGCACTGCCACTACACATTCGCCACATGACACGACTTCCCGACAAGGAGCACCATGGCGCAGTGAGCGTATTATCAGATTGCCGCGGCGGCGGTCGCTCATTGAGGAGGTGTCGTAACTTGTAGAGATGGACGATTGTTATATACTATGACTAATGTATGGTTGATATTGACTTTATCAACGTTCTAACTGTAAAATTATGTAAGCTTGAACTATGTTAGTATTTGTTTATTTCAAAGACATGTTCTAGAACCTATACTTACTAACCCTGGTGTTGTTGTTATTCATACTAACAAATAGTCAGACAGTATATGTATATATAATAGTCCACCAGAGACATATATTTTAGTAGTAGTAGAGCTCTTTGTGAAAAGAGTTCGTCCAATTTCTGCCACCAAACATTGTGAGCATTTTCTTTTGCATTCCAGTTTTGAAGAGTTAAGGGTGCTGGTGAAATTATAGGCACATTTTGTCAACTTATGTCTCAGGGTGACGGGTGACGGGTGAAGCGGCAGTGCTCCTCAGATCTTTGAGATATAAAGTTCTTACTGGCACTGGCTGTTATGAACAAACGTGTGGCTTATCACCAGGTTCTCGAAATGTTCATTCCGTCATTGGTATTTAAAAAAAAAATTGAGAAAATGGTAACTTTAATGTACGTATTGACATTCTTATATTTGTTCTTGAACCAAATAAGCTTACTGAAATTAATTAGGAATGCATACACGTATACATATAATTTTGGTCAAGACGATTCAACGACGGCTCAATTACCAAAATGCTAAGCCTTTAAAACAACTTTATTGACGAGTTGACATTACTTGTTTTTTTTAGTCGTAGAATTGCTAGTGAGACAACGAACCCGATAAACAATATAAATCGATTTCAACTAAACACGTACTTTTATAATCGCTGAATTATCAAGTTTATCTTTATCGAAGAATAACTATAATTTAATTGTAACAAATAAAATACTTAAAAAATCAATTAAATAGAACGTTTACAACTTTCGTTATTAAGTTTTTTATTGAATCGATTCTCGACAACACCGCTCTGTCACGGTCAATCGATTTAAAATCTAAACAACACTGCTGCAGCAAGCAGCCAGCGAACAAATCCGAGCAAATAAAATCGTAGAGCGAATAAAACAATTATGGTGTAATGTTTTTGCTTAATTTTTCTACAAATAACGCGTAAAAACACGCAATGGAGTCCAATAAATTTAACACGGACGCTGGTGATATATGTAGTGGAAACGGCAACTGTTCGCCACCTCGCAAAAAGCCAGTATTGGACTTAAATCACACTCGAAATATTGATGACATATCTACGCCTTCAGATTTAAAATTTGATGAAGGTATTGTAAAGGAAACTTGTAATATAATAGGCAAACAAAATTGTGCTCACGTTACAGTTGTGACATAAAACCCAGTGTTAGACATGTACGTGACATCTCCGAAGCAGTATTCTGAAAGACGGATTAATTTTAATATTTATTTTGTTAATAGAGTTCGATTTCGAAGACCCAGCAAACGTAGAAAAAAGCAAGAAAATCGAAAAACTTCTTGAAGATTATGAGTCGGTGAGTGTGGAAGAATGGCAGCACTTGGCCAAGAGCAAAGGGGGACTCCTATCAGGTAACCAATAGAACATGTAATTGTGTTTGAAATTTGTGCAATATTGATAAGTTTTGTGATTGAAAGACATGTTTATCTACAAATACCTATACTATAGTTAATGCATGTTATATAGATAATATTTATTTTTAAATCCATATTATAGATAACACTTCTTTGGAAACTAACCATTTCTCACTCATTGCCAAGAGTGTCAGTCTTTCTCCACTGCTTTATTGTTAAAGATGATGAATGCATTTCTAGAGTACGACCATGAGTGTAATTGGACATAGTTATGCAAACAAGTACCAACCTACACCTCAAGTGAAATAGAGCTATGTATTTAGGTAGAACACCAGACGTGTCTTTTACCCACTCACAAAAGATCCTGGCCATATATCAAGCCAAAATGGAGAAAATAAAAGTCCTTCAGGGTACCAACCCTAAATAAGTAACTTTTTAATAGCTAAAAGAACCATGCTGTTTAACTTCATATAATGTATTTTTTTAAGTATGCTAAATGGATCCATGTCACATGTGCTGAAGTACTGTAGATCTTTAGCATTTTCATTACGAAAACTAGAACATTGTTCTCGTTAACTAAATAAAAAGATACGTAATGTTTTCTATTTATTGCTATATAATATAATAGTTTCCCTATATCATTCTTAATGCTACAATGCACACACTGTTGTTACAAAAGTCTAATTATCTCGAAAGTGAAATTTTGTGGGTTGGTTCTAGTTTGCATAACTATGGCCAATTATTGTTGTATTTGGTGGGGTGTCTGAGTGGTATAGTATTTTTTTTTAAATGGGACAGTATGGGGAAATCTGAAACTATAGAAGATACAACAAAACTGTCTTAGGAACCATTAAGTCTTGTTTTGTGTTAACAATTTTGGCATAGCCCATTTTTGGTTACGCGTGAGTTGTCCATAAAAATGAATAAAATTGATGAAAATTTTTTTTAGTGCTGATCAATTCAGTATTATGTAAGGATCATTTCATTGTAAGGGATGAAAAAATTGGGACAGCAGAAGTTGGTCTAATTTAATCCAATGTTTTTCATACAAAACGAATAAAATTGTCAAATTTTTTTTCATTAGTGCTAGACTTAGTTTTATGCAAGGATCATTTTAATGAATTGTAAGAAAAAAATGAGGACTGCAGAAGTTGGTCAAAATTACCAAAAAGATTTTGTCAATATATGTATATCTCTTTTTAAAATGGTGGGATGGGCTTAAAGATACACTTTCATACCATATAAGATTTTGAACAACCTTATAAGTCCTGTATCCTTAAAAAACCTGAACCAGTCCAATGAATTAAAAAAACCATATTACACTTTCTACGGGGCACAAAGTGTGATTATAATCTGTAAAAATTACTTTGCAAGTTTACAGTTGCTATATTTTTCAAGGTCTTGTGAGGCAACAGTAACATCATCAATTCATAAATAGGCAGTCATGGACTGTGAATGTGTGAAATGTATTTTAGAAATTTGCTGTTATCATTCAGCTTCTATTAAATACACAGATTTTTATAATTTCCTAACACCCAGTAAACTGCAATGGGAAAAGCTCTAAATGCCCAATGTACAAGTAATATAATTACATGCTTCAGACCCAAGCAAGTGTGCCCTCAGTTTTGTAATGAAACTGAAAAAGGTATTTTTCTAGATACCCTATATTCATGTAGAATGTAAGCACTAAATTAAAATGCGATATTTTAGTTATAGTGTACACTGAATATTTGCGTAATTATAACAATAATATTATCTGGGTCTGAATCACTTCACATATGATGTAAATGTATGCGTTAAATATTTAAACAGATAAATACCGAAGAAGAATCTGGCCACTGCTTGTGGGAGTGACTCGTGCAGAGTTAACCGAACCACCTTCTCTTGAGGAACTCTCTACACATCCAGAATACAATCAGGTAATATATAGTGCTATTGTAGGTAATTGCAGCAAGCTCTGTATATAGAAAGGACATTATAATTTGATGCATGTTAACAAGGTTATAAAATTATTAACAAATTGAATATGTTCATAAATAAGAATGGTAATTAAATTAAAAATAAAATATAACTGCCTCTGTGGCCGAACGGTTACCATGCCGAACTGCCACGCAGAGGTCCCAGGTTCGATTCCCGGGCCGGGAGAAATATTTGTATGGCCTACATTTATTTCTCTCGTGAGTTTGGGTGTAATTTGTGGTTGTCTATGTGTGTCCATGGCACCCGCGACACAGGGTTTCCCTAGTGCGGGGCTATGTTGAGTGTGTGCGTTATTATTATTATTATTATTATAATTGTGTTTAATGTTTGATCATTTAATCACTAAACCAGATTCATATGAGTTTTAATAATGCTTGACACAAAATCGGAATTGGATATGTAATAAGGAATAATTTTGTTTTTTAAATATTAAAATCCTTCCAAGCAAAACTGATCAATTTCTATATAATCCCAACTGCCCTTGAGACATCTATTACTTATGGTTTTATTTCACTAAGCATATTTCAACTGCCTCCTAACGTAACTACCTCCGTGGTTGGACGGTTACCATGCTGGACTGCTATGCAGAGGTCTCAGGTTCAATTCCCGAGTCAGGAGAAATATTTGTACGGCCTACATATATTTCTCTCGTGAGTTTGGGAGTAATTTGTGGACGTCTATGTGTGTGTCCATGGCACCCGCGACACAGGGTTTCCCTAGTGCGGTAGTAGTTGAGTGTGTGCATATAAAAAAACACTCACAGTTCGAATTATTGCATGACACTGTTTGATTGATTTCATATCTTTTATGACTGTTATTAAATTATTAATATTATTTTATGATAGGTGGTACTTGACGTGAACCGGTCACTGAAGCGGTTCCCGCCAGGCATCCCGTATGCACGGCGTGTAGCACTACAGGACCAGCTCACCGTGCTCATTCTGCGAGTCATCATGCGCTACCCACACCTTAAATATTACCAGGTAAACCCTCCGTTGCATTTAGAATAATTTTAGACTGTCAAAACGACTTATTGTCGTCTTAGAGTGAATACCTCGTGTGTGATTTCTATATAATTTTTAGGACGAATATAAAAATGTGTAAAATGTAGTAAATGCAATAATGTTTGTAGTTAGTATTTATATTAGTTAAATTATACCTCTTTCGGATACAATATTACTTTAATAATATGTTTGAACATGATTATAAAGTTCCTTGTGCAAGAGTTCATCCAGGGAAGTACTGCCACCTTACCTATTTCTGCCGCCAAACAGTAATGTCAGCATTATTGTGTTCCGGTTTTGAAGGGTGAGAGTGCTGGTGCAATTACAGGCACATGGGACTTGTCAACTTATGTCTCAGGGTGATATGCAGTGGCACTGCCCCTCAGATCTTTGCGATTTAAAGCTCTGAGTGGCACTGCAACTATTATGGGCAGGCGTGCAGCTTACCACTGCGCGCACGACTTGTTCGTCCCGTCACTTGACATTATAAAAAAAAATTGAGAAAAAACGCATTTGGGAGGTTTTCACTCTAAGGCGAAGTTATATTGCAAATCAATCGCAAAAGAATATCACAGTTTTTAATTCACAGGGCTACCACGATGTGGCCATCACATTGCTGCTGGTGTGCGGTGCACGCGCAGCGTTCCCACTGCTGTGCCGGCTGTCGACGGGAGAGGCGCGTGACGGTGAGACAGAAGAGGCGCCGCTGGAGCCCTTCATGCAGCCTACCATGCGCGCCACGCAACACAGGCTTAATTATCTGCTGCCGGCGCTGCGGCGAGCCAGCCCAGAACTGGCTGACACACTGCAACAAGCGGCTGTGGGCACCATGTTCGCGCTGCCGTGGTACCTCACCTGGTTCGGTCACTCGCTGCCACGCTACGCGGACGTGGTGCGCCTCTACGACTATTTTCTATGCTCGCCTCCGCTCTTTCCCGTCTACGTCACTGTCGCCATTGTGTTGCACAGGTATGTCCGCGTGACCGACTTGAAGTTCGATTTTGATCTTCCGTGCAAAAGCTGATGATTTCACTGTAATGTTTCATTGTTGTTAACAGGGCTGACGAAGTGCTTGAGTGCGAATGCGACATGGCGATGCTGCACTGCCTCTTGTCTCGGGTGAGCATCGCCTCCGCTGTGTAGGCACCGCCGCCGTACTGTAATAAGCAAAGAACGTTGTTGTAGCTGCCGAACTCGCTGCCCTTCGAAGAGCTGCTGACGACGGCGCAGCGACTGTACGAGGCGCATCCACCGTCGACACTGGAGCGGGACGTGCAACGCCTTGAGCGAGAAGAGTACGTATCAAGCGCACTGAGAATCAGGGATCTACAATGCGGATGGCCTTTAATCAAAATGATGTGTTACAGAGAAGAGCAGCGACTGCGCGACGAGCAACGCATGCGCAGACGCGCGGCAGCCCGCGCTGGCGCCGGCGACACGCTGGTGACGCGTCTGCGCCGCGGCCTGGCCGTGTGCGGCGCACGACTGCCGCGGCGCTACCTGCTAGCAACCGCTGCCGTACTTCTCGGCGTCTACGCCTACTACCGGCCTGACTTCTTCGTGAGGTAGCGCCACGCCTACCGCTTCGTCATATTCAGCCTGTAACGAAGCGAACTACCCTGGATGTGATTTTGTGACTGTGCTGTGCTGTGTGCATATGTAAATATGATTGTGTATAGTGTTTATCAAATGAGTTGTAATATAATATGTTCAATTCACATTATGCAACCATGTATTGTTTTTGTTTGTATATTATGTTATATTTGCATTATAGAATGTGATAATTTTCTTGATAATGTTAACCCGTTGAGTGGTTTGTGTTATCCTCGAGGGGCACTCTCGAAAGCTTTATTCTCGTTTGTGTTAGAAAGAGTTCAACATGAAATCCCCAATAAAATAAATCTGGATTCAGTTACCTATATTGGTAAAGTACTTATAATTCTCAGTCGATAGATTTCTGTAATGTCAATTGTTTATGGTGCACCGCACACTTAAGATCTGACTCATAGCCCGTGTGAGGATAATATTCAAGCATTTATTATTATTTATAATTACATTGGTTAGCATTCTTGATGTAGAGAGACTTGGTAGTATTGTAAGAAAAATCTGTTATTGTTGTGCACTCCCTGTACTATAATGATCCCTCCTATGTAAAATATCGTATGTCGAAATTACCGAGTTAACAGGGAGCGTTTTAAAATTTTGAGTTCACTGAAATGACGTAACACGTCACTTTAGCATTTCTCCGTTTTATTTGGCAAAGCTCGTTACTTTAAAATTCGTTCTCGAATAAAACTGAGAAATTCTAAATTTACGTGTTATGCTCATATCTGTGAATTCAGAACTTTAAAACGCTTCCCTGTAAACTTGGCAATTTTGACATACGATACTTTACATAGGAGGGATCGAATTATTATTGTTATCTTTGTTTTAATTTGCGTCAATTTTGAAATAGGTTTGTTTTTACAATATTTATGTCTGTAAATACCGTATCACCCAAGGGTTTTTGTTATTACAATCAACTGAATTAAGTTCAGTTTGACTGGGTAACATAGCTAAATGAAAGACAGGTAGGTAGATTAAGGCCTTATTTCTGCAACTTTTGCACCTGTCAGCTCTTTTAAATAACAAATTATAACAATGACTTCTCTCCATTGGCATTCTAATTTATTGACGATATTACGCTGGAACAGTCGTCTTTGTTGACTGTAATACCAGGGGGCTACTTTTATGCTTCATCCTATATCCGTCAGAAACAATTACTGTCAAATAAATATTACTCGACTAAATCAAAAGACTATATGCCGGCTTCGTTTAAGTCACGCGTGTACTCCTATTCATTTGGCTAAACTTAGGATACAGAATCACTCATTGTGTGACAATGAGTTATTCTTCAACGAAGGAAACGTGGACCTTATATTCTTTGACTGCCCTAAATTACAGTGTTCCCTATATAACATCCTCGCTCCCTCTATCCCTCATCCTACTTCCTTTAAATGCCTTTCCTAATCCCTATCCTCTCACCCAAAAATGTATCATATTCTTTTTAAATTCATCCATATTAATCATATTAAACTGTAAATATTATTAATGCACTAACTACTATATTTAACATACATACAAGTTTCTAACGACTTGTGTTGTCTAATTTGTGCCGTCTCTTTTGTTCTAGAATTCAATTTGTGCAAAAATCTCTTCGATTCTCCCTCTGAGTCACCGAACAAAATTCTAACACACCCTCCATAACATTTATGAAACTAGAAAACGAACACTGGCAGAATTGAGACGTAGTCTCACAAGCCATACATTAAGAAAAAAAAACTTCATTAGCATCGAGGGTCTTTTTAATTTAATTGAGTATTACTTATTTTACAGTAATTATTTGCGAGCAATATATTATTATTTGAGAGCAGTAGCCCCGGTGGTTCAAGTCCAGCAGGATCAAAGAAATTTTTCTCTATGTGTGTTCGATCTTTCCATTCATTGATTGGTTTTTAATAACCCCAAGATGATTCTCAATTCGACAAGACTTTACTTCATAATTATGTAAAAAAAAACCAACACGAACTTTTGTTCGTGGAATTACATGTATTTGCCAACTTTTATTGCGATCAGTTACCGGAAAGTGCGCGAAACCGTATTCTACACCTAGTTTGCCATCCTTTGAGGTGGAATATTTTCTTCAAATTTAAATGTTATTTAAAAAAGTAACATTCTCAAATCGCTTCCCCAGTAATTTCATAAATTCTTTTTTCATAAAGGTTTGTTTGAAAAAACAAATATACGAGATTTATATCCGGAAAAATAGTTTCATTTCATATGTGTAACAATCGCGAAAACCTAAGATCTCGATAAATTATTTTTTGTTCATTTTGCTGCTTATTATTATTTTATTACATTAAATGCTGTGTAAGTCTGTAATAGGTAGACATTGTACTTAACAATACTAATAGTAAAGTTACACTGTTATCCGTGAGTATAATATGTACTACTGTTGAAGTAATAAATGTGTAATAAAATAAATAAATAATTAAAAAATAAATGGGTCCAATACTGAGTTACCCTCTTTCCAACAAAAAAGGATCGTCAAAATCGGGAGTTACCGCGTAACATACATACAAAAAAAAGTCGAATTGAGAACGTACTTTTTTAAAGTCGGTTAAAAATGTGTAAAGATGAACTTTCTAAATTGTTTGAGCATTGTGATATTGTAGTAACTTTAATTTACTATTTAAATGTACTGTATGGTAACATGTATTAGGGATGTGTGATGTTGATGCCTGGTATAATATGCGTGAAGTGCCTATTGGATGGTTAGATTGGGGTAGATGGTTAACCTTTGAATGTATTCTGATTGTTGAATCATGAGTGTAGAATGTACAGCATGAGCTATGCCTTCTGATGCTAATTTATTGGATGAAATTGGACAGCATGTAAGCGTTTGAGTGAGCTTATTTCGGCATTTCGACGTCCATAATCCAATTGCATTAGAATAGTAATAAGATCTTTCTTGCCATCAAATTTCCTCAATATTAACCAATTTTATCTGATTCTTATTAGCAATGGTCGAAATAGAGTGTTCCAAATGAATAGATAAATATCTACGTATAGTTACTTACAGGGAGTGATATGGAGTGGTTAAAACCAAAACATGGTAATGAATTACTTTTTCTAATTCCGTATTTCCGGAAATAGTTTTACTGCATCGTAGGAAGTATCTACAACATCTACATTAATAGTTAAAATATGCCATTGATTGTAACTTACTACAACAATGTTTACTTTGGTGAAAGGTTCATTATTTATTGCGTTTTTTACATAGCGCCACTAGAATCACATTGAAACCCAACTTCAGCTTCCCTTTCGATGAAGTAAAACTATTTCTGGAGATCCGGAATTCGAAATAGTACATTGTGTATTAAGGGCAGTAAATAAGGTATTACGAGCGAGACTATTAGAAGGCTTTTATATTAAGGCTTTCGGAGTCATATTTCATAATTCTCGAACCGCCCCGTGAAACGCACAAATGTTCTTAATCACATTTGCGAGTAAATAGTATGATCACATGCAGGTTAACTTGAGTATAATGCCTGAAACAAAACCCTCGGGCCTTTTTTCTTCTCGTTACAGTCATTGTCGTGTAATGAGAAGAAAAAAGGGCGAGAGTTTTATTTGGGGCATTATAGTCGAGTTAGCCTGCATGTAATTAAACTAATTACGTGCAAGTGTGATGAAAAAGTAATTAATTAATATTTGGTGGTTTTAATTACTCCTTGTCTCTATACATAGACATACTTACTCATCTGGAATACCCTATGCCGACCATTGGTTATTAGGATAGCACAGGATTGAAAGTAGATATAATGAGTAAATGAATATGTAGATAGTGCTTTACATGTGTAATGATACTTGAAACCAGCCTAGTCGGCCCATCTTTATACCCAAAATACTTTATGGGCAACTTAACTGTTGACTAGATCTACCTCTGAGTATATAATGTATTTTAAATAAGACTGTAAGCGCTATCTTTCACCTTGCTACTTTGTATGCTATAAATGTTAATGCAATGATCTGTATAATGTATATTTTTTAAATCTGGTACATGGGTATTGAATTGTATTGTTAGCCATTAAGACACTTTCCGAACTGCAATAGGGAACCTGGTGATATACCGCCGTCCTGTTTTCATATAAAAGCTTTTGCACATTCAAGTCAAATGTAAATGTAAGTATGAGTAATACTGGGATATTATTTGCGGTATGCGGGGAACTGTAAACGTTTTCACAATAAGATTCCGGAGCATATATTAAATTTATCATTTCCTAAGTTTAAAAACTACATCAATAATATTTTGATCGAAAAGTCATATTAAAAAATTGAAGACTTCGTGTTAGATAAAGATGTATGGAGAGATGACACGGCTCCAGAATCCACACAAATTTGATTCATAGTGTATTCCATAGCATTTAAGATTATTTGAAAAGAGCAGTCCCTAGTGTTTCTCGCTCGTTCTTCTCAGGGAGGTCAGCGTAGTGAACGAGCAGTAGCTTAAATGTGACGTTTTCAAGTGTAAATTTATTTTACCTATTCCATAGGTAAAATAAATTTATAATATAATAAATGATCTTTGATTTTGACGGTAAAATAATAACAAATTCAAACAACTTATTACATGACGTCGTCTAAATTTGAAAACCTCGTAACTCCGTTTTTGGTCGAAATCACTTTTTCACTCTTCAAGTGCCACATCGGGCAATTAAAACTTAAAATATAATTCGTAGATTCTTTTCAAGTTACGAAATAAAGGTAGAATCATATAATTATTTCTAGTAACTCGTTTTTTATGTATACTCAAAAGTTCATATTAATGGAGACAATAAGTTATGTTTGTTTTTTAAGTTTCTCATACAATAATGCATGACACAAATGCACACATAAAAAATGTCTAGTGATTAAACACGTTTTTGTCAATTACTGAAAATCAATTTTTTTTAATCATATTTTTTAACACCAATAATTTTTTTGGTCAATTTCATAGTTTAAAAATAAATAAATAATTTAGTAAATTTATATAGATACTTTTATTTCATTTTAATAGGGTAATCAAATATTTAAAACAATATACCTTGATCTCTAGACACTTTCGATGAGTGTATGTATAAAGTTACCTCATACACACAAACCGTGACTGGAAGCGAACTTTTGTGTCAATTGTGTAACATACAAATTAGATACGAGCTAGAAAACAGTTCGCGCGTCTTCCGAAGAATTGTCGAGCAATTTCGGGAATTCCCACAACTACAGTGTCTAGTTTGTACCTTACACAATTTACATAATTCATTATGCGATAAAAAAATTTCGTTACAAAAATTCACTTCGGTTCCATTTCGTGGCAATGTAAATTGAGCCTAATGTTGATGCCTTAACATCCAGTCTACTTTGTTATAATTATTACACAAATTTCGAACATTTCTGGTTATATACTCGATGATCGAACACTTAGAAAAAAGTTTTTCTTAACTCAGCTTCAGCTTTCATAGATTTCTCACAGAGGGCGCTACGGTAAAGTCGTTAGAAACCAAAACTCTGCAACAAACATATCGTTGGGGATAGTGCAAATCCGCGCATGTAGTATTGGTCAAAGGCGCATATCTGCACTAAACCAAATTTTACAGGAAAGGGATTTAACGTTATTACTTCGTTATTTCAATTTTACAGAGTAAGCTTTAATTTATGTTGTATTATATAGTTGTATTTATATTCTCGTAAATCACGCCAATTTGCCTATCACGCCAATTCGGCTATCACGCCAATTTGGCTGACACGACATCTACGCGGATTTGATTTGACACTAAATTACCGAAATGGAAACGCATAATTCAATGCTAGATACGCGTAATTAAAATAATAATAATAAATAATAACGCACACACTCAACATAGCCCCGCACTAGGGAAACCCTGTGTCGCGGGTGCCATGGACACACACATGACAAGCGCAAATTACGCCCAGACTCACGATAAAAATAAATGTAGGCTATACAAATATTTCTCCGGGCCGGGAATCGAACCTAGGACCTCTGCGTGGCAGTCCGGCATGGTAATTGCACTATTCCCAACGATAAAAATCGTGAGGTCCGTTGGTTCGTTTCCTTGGCATAGCGTCTGTCACGGTTTGCTAATAGACGTTGGTTCGAATTCAACAGAATGGAAGTAAATTTTTTCTAAGTTTTCGATCTTTGTTTAATAATTATAATAAACTTGTGGAATAATTTCACAAAAAAATAATTGGATAATATGGTGGTAAGACATCCTGACATTAAATAAAACTTAATCCAATCTACTTATTAATCAGTGAATAATTTTTTTGTTCTTATAATTTTTGTATGGACTAACTATAACCCCATGAATACTTAAAATTATCATAAGGTTATGGACTAACTTCATCGAAAGTTCAAAATGCTGTCTTAATGGTCAATTGATATTTACTTAAGTTATTTTTTAGACGCTATTAGTTAAAAATACTACAATAATACGTGATATATCACGCCTATAATAATATATTACGCCCGGTATGTTATCTATGTACGACACTCGACAATGGGAATAAAATATTACAGAAATTACGATGCCTTGGGTTTTAATGCAACACGTCCACCAGTGGCCGAGGTACGACGCGGCGTTCTTAAGCATGCCTAAGCGCCCTTAGGCATACCGAAGCTTTCCGTCCGATATCAGCATAGTCGCACCGGCGTTCCGGAGGCTGCCAACTCGACATCCCTAAGCATACCGCAGCTTTATTATGCAGCTACGATCATATTATCATTGAAATTGCGACTATAATGTCGTAATCTTAGATGTATTGCTACTGGTCACCTAAAAATCCCTTGCAATCCCTCCTGTCAGTGGGCGTCGAGCCTTATGTCTCGCGATGCGCGACTTTCAATGTTACTAATACTAATCATTCGAATGGGCAAATCATTCGCCAAAGTCTAATCCAAGCACAATCATTCGACTCGAGTCGAATATCGGATATATATCGGAACACCTCAATCATCATATTCATGCCAAAATATCCCTTTTTTCCCGGTCATATTTACAGTATTTACCATTATGTCAGAGAGGGCTAGGTGATTACGAGCAGAAATGCTCTATGGAATCTATCATAGATTTAGTATATACTAAATCTATGGATTAGTACTTGTGATGAAAGAGACTCAGGGTCGTATTCTAGAACTCTATTCAATGCTCAAGTCAGGACTGCACTGGCAACACAAGCACTGGAAATACGACCCTAAAGGCAGGGACTTGAGTATGATTTCGAGTGCTTTAAACCATACTCAAATCCTGACTTGAGCATTGAGTAGAGTTCTAGAATACGACTCTCAGTCTTTTAAAGCGTTCTATAACGACTCGACTTTATTTTACAGGTCTCGACCTCTAAAATTAAGACTGGGGATTCGAGTTTTTATTAATATGACTCAGTCGTTATACTAAAAGACTTAAACTACTTGAACGACTTAAACGATTCGAGTTGTTTGCAAAGGACTTATACCTATTTTATGTGTTATTAAACCCGAAGTTTATAAATAAAAATGACGTAAGTAGTATGTAGTAAATAATCACGTTTATTTTTTACTTATAGTAAAAATCATAAAATAAATAATACCTTGTGGGTAGAAATAAAATCGCGCCATACGGCTCATGACTCGCGACTCCAGAGGCTATAAGTCGTTAGTCGCTTTAGTCTTTTTCGTCGTTTTAGTTCTAAAAGTCTTAAGCTTGCTAGGGTTAAAAGACTTTGACTCGAATTAGCCTTCAGTTTTCGTCTTATGACTTAAGGACTTGAGGGTTAAAAGACTAGACTAGTCGTGAAGCGTTAAAAATTAGTCGAGGTTTTTTAAAAAGCCTTAAAAGACTGAATCTCTTTCATCACTATTAATACTACTAATTAGTAATGAATGATCATTAAAATCATTCGAATATGAAAATTAGATTACTAATTTGACATTCGAATGACAGGATTAGCGATTACTAACGAATCGATTAACGAAATCATTCACAATCGCGCATCGCTACTTATGTCTTTTGACGCACATCTCATAGCAATAACTGATTTCAATCATCGGGCTTGTGGTCCATTTTATTTGACCTCACCTATGCGAGATAAAGATTATAATAATAATGTTTATTTGATATCTGTTTAAATTATGGTATTACTTTTAATGTCAAAATAATAGAATGTACGTACGAGTACAATTTACTATCATACAATGCAATTATTTTAATTATTAAAAATAAAAAAAGACATATAAAAAACTTAGGTACTTAATTAAAATTTAGCAAACAGATCAAGTCAGTCTCTTGATTTTGGGACAAAAAATAATTTTTTTTATGTTTATTTTTAATATATTTACATAATAAAATAAACTCGAAATCTTCATTAATTGTACAACGGTGCAATATATATAATCGGTGTGCATGTCAACGTTATTTCTTAAGTTTTAGTTTTTAGCTATTTGGGTGTTGACTACAATGAAAGAACATAATTTTCATTATTATACATATTTCATTTATTAAGTAAGTTGAACTTAAATAAAAATTATGCATTATTTACAAGAACTTAACGACTAATATAGCTAATAAAAATGTTTCTATATAGCTAGTCCGGGCCGACCCTCCTATCGGCGACAGATAAAGTGGAACAACCCACAGACGGTCATCGACTGCATGACGGAATGTCGCCTGACGCAGATAAACTGCAGCGCGAAGATGGGCCGAGGGCAAGCCGGAGATATCTAAGCTAGTAACTGGTATAATAAATACCCGGAAGAATTATCGAAGAGAGCATTAATTCACAGCCGCGGCGGTAAGTCGATTCTAAACGCGGTGATTAGAGACATTGGAAATTACACATGTCCAATTTTCGATCGTAATGAGTATAATATCAGTACAGAGTACTAAAAAACCGACCTCAAAAGTACGTGGAATTACATCTATTTGGCAAGCTTTATTGAAATATCCCCTAGTTCGCCACTATACAGGACTTGACACAGGAGATAATAAAAATCGGTTCTCGCTACTCGAAGTATATTGAGAGAGAAAAACGCCTTGAATTGGAAAATAGCAAAACCAGCCATTAAAATAATAGCTCCTTAAGTAAAATTTAGGCGCTATTTATAAAAATGAATGTTTATGCGTGATCAGCCACACTTAAGAGGTGGAGGATTTTCTTCAAAATGAAATGAGACCACAATGGAGGTACCCTTTTTCCAACAAAAAAGAATCATGAAAATAGGTTCACAAATACCGGAGTTGTCGTGTAACATACATACAAAAAAACACAGTTGAATTGAGAACCTCCTCCTTTTTTAAAGTCGGTTAATAAATAGAACATTATTTGCAACCGTTATGACGTTTGTGTTTGCTAGTATACCAGCATAAATTAAATTATTTGCATCTCCATCAGCCTCTGATATCCATTGTTCGCGTTGCGACATGACCTAATGGAGTGGGTATTACGGCACGCTGGAATAATTTACAAACAAATTCAAAACCGACTGCCATCCAAAAAAGTAACCTCGACCGTTCGTTCTTACTTTGGATACAATACCAGTATAATTAACCCGTTCATGGACAGGAACGGCGTTTACCACAAACTTGAATATCAGAATATGGTAGCATTTCAAAAAACCAATTGCGAGTTTTACAGTGTGATCCCCAAGTGCTATCTGTGTAATTGCCACCTACTGCTTTTCCATAGAGAAGTATCAACAACGTCCTGACAAAATTCAATCGAACACTCAGAAAAAATTCCTTCGATCCGGCCGAATTCGAACTGGAAAGGTATCTTTCTAATCTAACTGGTTGTCGACATACTTTCATAGATGACGCTACGCGCTAATATTGCGTACTTTGAATTTTTATACTGAATCAATATAAGCACTAAGGCAGCTAACGTACTGACATTTTTGTGTGCGCCACTAGTTAAGTACTGTCCACGAAAGGATTAAGCTACAAGATTGATTCATTTTAAGCAGGTTGATTTTTAATTACTTAATGTCATAAAATCGACTCATTTTTTTTAAATAGATTATCCAGCATCTATTCATGTTAAGGGCAAAAATCAGCATCCACATCCGCTGATGTGTAAAAGTCCCGCATCAGCAACAACTTCATTCTGACTGTTTACGATCGTAATTGCGTGCGTAAATTCCGTCGCGTGTTTGTCTTTAGTCTAAGGCTGCGCCAGGAGCGTGCGCACGTAGTCCAGCACTCGCGGGTCATGCAGGATCTTGAGGTGCTCGGCGCCTCGCAGGGGCAGCGACTTGACCGTCGCACCGCCGTTGCGCGAGAGCTTCGCCCAGCGTTCGCAGACGCGCAGCGAACGCAGGTTCACGGTGCCGTCGCCGTCTCCGCCCACCAACGTCGGCGTACCATCTAGCCACGTGCCCGGCTTGTACTTCAACCTGCGCGAACACCACACGAGTCAAGGCATTTCTATCATTTTACATTATTTTTAATAATACGTACAAAAAAAATACACTCGTTCGTTTGTGCCAAACAAGTATGTCCGCACGGATCGACACCGGCATCAGGAGGGCTACTACGTGACAACGAGGTTCATATGACAGCTATCGTATTGAACTTTGACATTACATTAATTTTTTTATAATATCAAGTGACGGGACGAACAAGTCTTGCGCCTGATGGTAAGCTACACGCATGTCCATGACAGTTGCAGTGCCACTCAGAGCTTAAAATCGCAAAGATCTGAGTGGCGCTGCCACTGCGCCCTTCACCCTGAGACATAAGTTGAAAAGTCCCACGTGCCTGTAATTTCACCAAAATTTACTTACTAATGCACCGTCTAATTAAACTCATTCACAGGGCAATTGAATTTTTTTTTTTATTTTTATTGTGACTCGGCAAAATGACTGCACCGCGCCTGATGGAAAGTGCGAATACAGTCCAGAGATGAGAGTAACGGATGGAAAACACAAATATCTTCACTCCGTCACTATCATTTTGCCGGTCTGGCCAAATGCTTCTTCACACTACGTTTGAAGGACCCGATGTTATAGAGGGGAGGGAATACATGCGCCGGGAGTTGGTTCCACAATTTGATGGTTCGGCATAAGAACGAATTGCCAAACTTTTTAGTGCGGGACGGTATTGAACTGACCGTCCAACTGTGGCAACGCAGTCCGGCACGGGTGGTCCGCTGATGGAAAGGAGAGGAAGGGATAAGGTTGAATAACTCTGAATGCCCATGAATCCAAATTTCGCATGTGAAATTCAATACTGTCGTAACTAAAAAATCACGACGAGTTCCTGTACGATGCGGATTGTACAGTCAAGCTATTCTTGCAATTTAATTTGTATCAAGTTTGATACTTTGGATTTTGGACCATCTTATCGCAAACGGCATAAGACGAATTCAAATAGCGTGACCCTGAGCATATTATGTTTGTACACTGTGTTCAACTGCCTATAATTGCCACGGTGATTTATTTGTTTATTTATAAAAACGCAATGTAAAACAGTAACGACAAAAACGCTTACATATTAATTATTTATACTACATTCATATTTGATATGCAAGGTTTGCTTTACAAATTAATTTAAAAGATGTCAGCATCCTGGACCTCAGCGACCAGAGAATTTAGTAACACGAGACCACGTTTCGTGGGTGCGTTGCCAGCACGGCATTTGTGCAAACAGCTGGAGGTTTACCACCAAAATACGATACTACGTGACAACGACACCGTTCTGAGCAGGGCAGTACTGCCACCTTACTTATTTCTGCCACCAAGCGGTAATGTCAGCATTACTGTGTTCCGGTTTTTAATGTCAACTTATGTCTCAGGGTGACGGGTTCAGTGGCAGTGCCCCTTAGATCTTTGCGATTTAAAGCTCTGAGTGGCACGACAACTGTTATGAACAGGAGCGTAGCTTACCATCAGGCGCACGACTTGTTCGTTCCGTCACTTGATATTATAATAATCTAAGTACAGAGTACTAAAAAAATCGACCTCAAAAGTACGCGGAATTACATATAATTACCAAGTTTTATTGAAATTGGTTACCGGAAAGTGCGCATACCCGGATTCATCATTCGCACTACACGGGACTTGACACAGGAGATAATAAAATTCGGTACTCAAAGTATATTGAGAGATAAAAACGCCTTGAATTGGAGAATAGCAAAATCAACCAAAGAAATAATTGCTCCTTATAATAAAATTTAGGCGCTATTTGTAAAAATGAATCTTCGTGTGTTAACAGCCACCCTTAGAGGTGGATGATTTTCTTCAAAATTAAATGGGACCACTATGGAGGAACCCTCTTTCCAACAATAAAAGGATCATGAAAATCGGTTCAAAATACCGGAGTTATCGCGTAACATGCGTACAAAAAAAACGTCGAATTGAGAACCTCCTCCTTTTTTGAGTCGGTTAAAAAAATGAACGTAATGTCAAACACGATAGTTATCATATGAGCCTCGTTGTCACGTAGTATTTAGTGGTACACCTCCTGATGCCAGTGTCGGTCCGTGCGGACATACTTGTTTGGCACAAACAGATCGACGTTGCTCTTATATTTTAACTGACTTCAAAAAAAGGAGGCAGTCCTCAATTCGACTGTATTTTCTTTGTATGTAAGTTACGCGATAACTCCGGGTTTTTAAATTTGTGAACCGATTATCATGATTCTTTTTTGGTGGAAAAGAGGTACTTGAGTATTGGTCTCATTTAAATTTGAAGAAAACATTCCACCTCTAAGGGTGGCAAACTAGTGGATGAATCCAGTTTCGCGCACTTTCCGGTAGCCGATTTCAATAAAACTTGTAATTTTAACGGTAATATATAAGTTTAAACGCTATTGCAATCATTACGTCCTGTATATTGGTCTGCAGGAAGAAATTTCTTTTAGAAATAAGCAGTTACCTTTTGTTTGTGTTTTCCGTTTTACTAAATGTGATTTGTGTTTTCCTGTACAATAAATAAAACTTGGCAACTGTAATTCCACGAACTTTTGAGGTCGGTTTTTTTAGTACTCTCTACTGATATTATTATAGATACTGGTATCCACCGACGAACCATCGACAATTCCTTACCTCTCCACGGTAGAGATGTTGTACCCATAGATGCAGTGCACCTCGACATCAGGAGCCGTGAGGTCGCCTGAGAACCGCTCAGTGTCCTTGCGCATTTCCCAAGCGTTCGGCAGCCCCATATCTCTGTAACACATTTTTTATCCATAATTGAAGAATCCATGGAAAGAATGATCGATGTCACTTCATGAGAATTTTGGGAAAAAAGAATTTTGGATTTTTTAAACTTTAAATTTGAACTTTAAAATATTGATGAAAACGACACGCACAGTATTTATTCTTTATTTATTATACCTTAAATAAACTCAACTGCCTCCGTGGCCGAACGGTTACCATACCGGACTGCCACGCAGATGTCCCAGGTTCGATTTCCGGGCCCGGAGAAATATTTGTGTGGTCTACATTTTTTTTCTCTCGTGAGTTTGGGTGTAATTTGTGGTTGTCTATGTGTGTGTCCATGGCACCCGCGACACAGGGTTTCCCTAGTGCGGGGTATGTTTAGTGTGTACGTTATTAAAAAAAATGCTGACATAAATGTTTGTAACGCTATGTAATCCATTGTAACTAAAAAAACATTTACGAAATGATTTTTAAACATTTAGTCGCAGGCATTTTTATGATTAAAAGTGAAAGCTAATATTTAAGGGCACTGAATCTTGTTAGCCTTTTTCTGATTTAGGCATCGAGTATACACCCAGATATAAAGACGAAATAAGGGCCATCCACCCCTGGCAACTTATAAGTCATATCAACTCTCGTTTGCGCCGAAATCACAAATTAGAAAGCTGAAATAGTACAGCGCCAACAACTGACCTGTGTGTACGTCTCCATATATTCCAAAAATATTCTGTATTTTATTGTAATAAAGATAATATCTCTAACTATGGGAGGATGTTCCATGCGATGGTGTGGGGAAAACAACAAAACATCTAATTACAAAACATCGGTAATTAAATATTAAATTATGTAATTTTTAAATTTTCGTCCATTATACCAAAGGTCAAGCTAAACTAATCGATTTGAAGTGACCCCCCTCAATTGTTTCGAATTTGAAACGGCCAATCAAAAAGTAATGATATGGCAGAATAGTTTTCAAACAAATTAAATGACATTTCGTCTATATTTCCAGTTATATACTCGATAGACTTAGGCAAAGTACGCTCAACATTTTTCGAACTGGGTGGCGGTATTCACTCAAAACGTGTTTTAAGCGACTGGTCATTCTTTCCCTGGTCGCTTCTATTGGGGTGCACGAAAGGAGTTTCTCCGCACGATGTACCATTCCTTTACCGTACGTTTGGTGCACCCTCACTAATAGTAATAATAGTAATAATAACGCACACACTGGACATAGCCCCGCACTAGGGAAACCCTGTGTCGCGGGTGCCATGGACACACAAATAGACAATTACAAATTACACCCAAACTCACGAGACAAATAAATGTAGGCCATACAAATATTTCTCCCGACCTGGGAATCGAACCTGGGACCTCTGCATGGCAGTCCAGCATGGTAACCGTTCGGCCACGGAGGTAGTTGACCCTGGACAATAATCGGCGAGTACCTTAAGACGATTGGCACATCCTTTCGCCACGATGGCAAACATTATAGTGTATTCCACAGTTATTCAAACTTTTTGGCTAACGCCCACTTAGGCAAGTTAAAAAAATTTCAACGTCCACCACCACAAAAAATAATTGAAAACACGAATTTTTTATATTAACTTAACACAAAAAATCACAAAGAAAAAAAAATTATTGGAAAAAAAAATTTTATCGCCTCACGGTATTGATGCCCCCAATTGCTTCCGAGGCCCCGCTAAACGCCCAGTTACACGGGGCGAAAGTTTTCGCGCGGCCGCCCGCCGCGCGGCGACCGCCCAGTTACCATGCCTTCGTGTACATTAATGGCGAATCTGAATTCTATTTACTAGCCAACGATAATTAAATTGCTCTGAATAATACAACTGCGCGGTCGCCGCCCGGCCGCAGCGTCAAGCCAGACTCGCCCGCGCGCCCGGGACGTTCACTTAAATGAACGTAAATAAAACGTAAATGCTAAACAAATAGAGCGTATTTTTCCATGACCGTTAGACGCAAGCGGTGGCTGCGCGTGGTGAGCGCAATGAAATTCGTGTTGAATAAATGCGCCCTAAGACTAATCAGCGCCCACTGAGGCTCAAGTCACACTGGCGCAGAGTCGAAGCGTCGCGACGCGTCATGTTTTTCGCGTACAGCATATTCATCTCTATTTGCCCCATTACTAGGATACAAATTTGTGTTATGCAAATATGGAGTCGCGTGTCGATGTGCGATTGGTTGCAGCCGGGCGGCTTCGCGTGTCGACGCGCGTCACATGAGCACAGTGAGGCGTCAGACGCCGACCACACTGTGATATCGCACTAATGCGGGCGTCGTCGAGCGTAGACGCGTGTCGCCAGGCGTTGTAGTTGAAAAACAGGACGCGACGCAACGCTTCGACTCTGCGCCAGTGTGAGTTGAGCCTAAGGGGCGGTAGGGACCATTTTGGGAAAGTATGATGTATTCCATCAGTACGACTAGAAAAACATCCATATTTTTTTTACTTCCAACATTCAAAATAACAACAGAGTTTACTCGTCTGTATGAACCAAACAAAAATTCTGATAACAACCACCAGTGTCAAAGGGTGGAACGTCACGCGATCGTTTCTCACGCCACATGATAATACGTCACGACATCGCGATTAGCAATAATAAATAATTATTAATATAACGTTATTCGTAAACAATATAACGCATATGAAAGCCAAATACTGTCGTAACTCAAAATTGTGGAATCGAGAAAACATATTTTGAAAGTTAAAAAAATACTGATTTTGTTTTATTATAATAATAAGAAGTGACTGGTATAAGTAGTTTTTTTTATAATATCTAGTGACGGATCGAACAAGTCGTGCGCCTGATGGTAAGCTACACGCCTGTCCACAACAGTTGCAATGTTATTCAGAGCTTTAAATCGCAGAGATCTGATTGCCACTGCGTCCGTCACCCTGAGACAAGTCCCATGTTCCAGTAATTTCACCAGCACCCTTACCCTTCAAAACCGGAACACAGTAATGCTGACATTACTGCTTGACGGTAGAAATAGGTAAGGTGGCAGTACCACACTGGACAAGGAGCTCTACTGCTACTAAATAATGAAACCAATAAATTTATATTCTCATATATAAATGGAACACTAATTATTATTATTATTACAATTAAGAATAATTATTACACAATTATTATGCATAAATTTTTTTTTTATACATACATTATTCTCAATAAGACCCATTCAGTATTTTTTTAACTATCAAATCGTGTTTTTGTCAATTCCACCCATTTTTGAGTTACGACAGTATTTCATTTCAAGTGCGATAACTGTGGTAATGACATTGAATATCGGGGAACAAATTGGCAAATACTTAATATGTATAGCGTCTGTGAAGAGCAGTCACTGACATGAAGAGTTTCTGGAAGTCGTCGATGGTGTAGTTGAACTTGTCCGTCTGCACAAGCACCTCGGTAGAAGGCCAGAGCGCACGAGAGGGCAGCAGCCACGCCAGAGACGGACATGTCACTTGTTCTGCGCGCAGTACACTCTGCCGCAGTACAAGTGAACCCAGGTCATCACCTGTACAAAACATCATAGTCCAATAAATCCAACTGGCCACCTTGGATTGAGTTAATATGTGTGGTAGGAGCCTTATAGGTGACCAGGATTATAAAAACAATAGCTGCAGAGCTTACAATAAATTACATAAAACGTATAAACGCAGCCACAGGTCATCTGATTTGGACTTGTTTTCGTTTTCATTAAATAAATTTAAAACTTTATTATATAACTGCTCTGTCTAACAACTCTGTAACTTTACAATTTAATTTCAACACATTTACATTATTTATTTATAATCATATCCATTTGTTTGTATGTAACATAACATAACATACAGTAAACGCCTCTGAGGCGATGTTATATGTGCATACTGTATTTGCCTATTATTGGGTAATTTCTGCAGTGTCATTTTATATCCATGTTTAATAGAGTATTTCTGTTGGCGAATCTAATAACAAAAAAGACATGGGCTCCACCACTGTGTTTTGAATATTCCAAGGATTCGCATGAAGCGTTCCGCTTCTACATTTATATGGCAAACGGCTAAGGACTGGAATTCCCTACTTGTCATCGAGTATATTACTCGATGCTTAACTACGTCGTTGACCTCATCGTCACTTTCCATCAGGTGAGATGAAGATGAAATACGCACTTTTTTATAAAAAGGAAACACCTGCACCGAATGACTTATGCGTTTTTTGTACTAATTCGGCCTTATAACGTTAAACGATTTTGAATCACAATAGGTAAAATTTTTAAAAATAAATAGAAATTATAGTTCGCACCCTTGGTGTAATAAGGTCACATCTGCAAAATCACAACTTTTCAGAAGAGGTTTAAAAATCCTACGCACGAATTTGACATATAATAAAAATATACAGACACCCTGGTCACTTCATTTCATGCGGTAAAAGCACTTTTGTCGTACGATCACACGAGGCTTTATTATACTCGTACCAAGGATGGGTACGATTTTAAAGACATTATAAGTTTACATAAGAGAGTAATTCACTTGACAATATTTTATATCAGTTCAGAATATGCACTCATATTAATTTAGCTTGCAAGGAACAAAAGAACTGACCGATGGCAAAGGCCTTGAGCGCCTTGACGGCGCCTCCCCACGGCGTCGACAGCGATACCATCCGCCGCACGTAGCGTTTCTTCCAGGCCTGCGGTTGGGAACGCAGGAAGTGCATAGCCATCGAGCCACCCATGCTGTGCACCATCAGCGTCACCGCCGACTGATTGTTCATATTGTAAGTTTCCTCCACCAATGCTTTCAACTTCACGAAGAACTCTCCGTTTTCATCTGTTACAAAATTCCTTTTAAAGTCCTAATTCAATCGCCACTAACACCATTATGGTAGCTTAATGGCAAGTTCAGCGCGTTTAGAACACTATGGCACTGCTATTGCCACAGTGTCTTCACTCAAAATATGTGTAATTCAAGTTGCTGAACGTAAATTTTGGTTCTCTACACGTCAATAAAATAGTCGTTATATTATTAATGTGAGAAACATTGACTTACAATTATATGGACGTCGGGTCCGCGCTAAAAAGTGTCCGCACTTGTAAGGCGCTAAAATCGTATACAGAGCGCCAAACTCCGCTTTAGTCTTCATTTGTTCTACTGACAGCGCGATACTGCGATGACATTACAATTTAAATTTCGAATAGGTTCACTTGGGACATTTTTTTCGTGGTTTTTGTATTAGACCCGTCGTCTATTTATTTGTAAGTCAATGGTGAGAAACAATTAATATATCCACGTAACTTAAAATGAAATAAACTTTTTTTGAACTAGTTCGGAACAAAACAGTCCTTAGGGCGCGATCCCATTATGTCGTAACGTTTTATTTATCGTAGGACGATTGTCGTGTCTGGCTTGTTCCCATATCTCGACTTTACGTCGTGACTGTGTCCTAGTACGTTTATTTTATCGTTCAACGACTGTCGTGGCTATTCCCACTAGATCGTAACGACTATTTAACGGTTCACGGCAGCAACCTTGTCGTTTGCACACACGTCACATTTTTATAGTGCGTTTTGTTTATCGTTCGACGACGTTCGTTCTAGCTCTTCCCATTGTCACGACAGTCTACGGGCGTAACGTCAAAAAAGTCGTGTACGATAGTTAATCGTGTTGTTCTATGTGTGAACAACTTCATTTAAATATACAAGCCATGACACTTTAAACTGCACGACTATCTATAGTCACGACATAATAAGAACGCGCCCTTACTAAAAAATATGAAATATTTTTTTCCCTTTTACTTTTAAATATATTTGGTAAGTAGAAAATTATTTAGATGTCCGTAATAAACTTTAGCATATGCATAAATTTTAATAATCTTTCACGAGAAGTGCATACTTCGCTTTTCATCGTTTCAGAAAAAATACATTTTTTGAGTTAATACACTTGCGTTGTCATTGATGTGATAAAGTATAAATGATATTGCAACTCACTGGGTGCTCGTCTAAAATCATATGGAGCGCCTCTAAGAGACACGTTTCTGACATAGCCGATGGAGACGAGCATATCGCTGATGGTGTTGAAGTACGCGCCCGCCTTGTCGTGCGAAGGGTCGAGCCACTCGACGGGTTCGGGCAGGCCCCAACCGGGTATGCGCACGTCCACGCCGGGCGGGCTGCGCGTCGTGCGCGTGACGTTATCATATTCCAGCCGCAGGTTATCCACCCAGCAGTCGATAACGAACGGCACCAGTAGCTCCAAGTTCAACCAGATATTGAAATAGTCGGCGGAGACTTTGGCACAAATGTAGTGTACCACCGAAGTCTTATTCAACTTTGCCTCCAACTGGCTACCACCATCGCCTGGGACTGTAAAAATTCGCCACGTCTCACTTATGTGCTCGCAAAGAACAAATACCAACGTACTAAGTACTTACCTCAGGACTACAGTGGAAAGCAACAATAAAATTAAGAACATAAGATGATTTCTGCTGAAATCGCCTGCTGAAACTGCCTCCGTGGCCGATCGGTTACCATGCCGGACTGCCACGCAGAGGTCCAAGGTTCGATTCCCGGGTCGGAAGAAATATTTGTAAGGCCTACATTTATTTCTCTCGTGAGTTTGGGTGTAATTTGTGGTTGTCTATGTGTGTGTCCATGGCACCCGCGACACAGGGTTTCCCTAGTGCGGGGCTATGTTGAGTGTGTGGGTTATGAATGTGCGTGTTATTTACTAAAGCATACTCATGCTGATCAAATGAATTTATGGTATCTTCACCTCTAACATTTGTACATTATGGAATGCAAACATTGACTTACAAATAAATGGATGGTCTAATACAAAAACCACGAAAAAAATGTCCCAAGTCACCCTATTCGAAATTTAAATTGTTATGTCATCGCAGTATCGCGCTGTCCGTAGAACAAATGAAGACTAAAGCGGAGTGTCGCGCTCTGTATACGATTTTAGCGCCTTACAAGTGCGGACACTTTTTAGCGCGGACCCGACGTCCATATAATTGTAAGTCAATGAATGCAAAGAAACAAGAATAAAGCTTTAGAATTATTAACGAAATAACCTCAGTATAGAGTACTAAAAAACCGACCTCAAAAGTCATTCATCCCCTTGTTTGCCACTCTTAGAGGTGGAATATTTTCTTCGAATGTAAATGGCATACACTCCTGAAGTGTCCTCTTTCCAACAAAAAAAATAATCATAAAATTGGTTCACAAATCACGTAAGTTCACACAAAAAAATACAGTCGAATTGAGAACCTCCACCTTTTTTGAAGTCGGTTAAAAATAATAATAATGTATAAGATAATATTTTAATGCTGTTTTGTTAATTAACATAATCTACAATATTGCAATCCTTATTAATTGTAAACACATTTGTTACAAATACTTGTTACAATTAACAGACTTTGTACTGTCTATTTAATTGTAAATATGAGATTGGTGCCCAGTAGGGGGACGTATAAATGAGTTGATGACTAATTTTAGGATAGATGTGCTAGATACATTTAAATAAAATTTTAATGTTTCAGAGCAGAGATTAATATAATAAATGGGAAATACAATTTTCATGAGATTCAGGTAAAATGCTTAAATGGATGTTGATGAAACTTTGAGAAATAATATTATTTACAGGTGTATTTCTATTCAGTTTGTACTCTTTTTTTATCTCGGTATCTTAGTGTTTTAAAGTTACACATAAGTTAAAAGTTTATATGACAGATTTCAGGGTCGTCCTGAAACTTAGTATAAACACTCTTTTCAGCATTTGCATGATTTACTATATGATATTTAATAACTACACAGTTTAGCTAAGTAATAAAATAAAGTCGGTGGGATGTGTCTAAAAAAGTAACAACCAATTAGAAGTTGTTGTGCAATTAGGATTCTGTACAGTGACTACACCATCGCCTAAGCTCTAGTGCAGGTAAATTCAGCGATCGCTGTACCTTGCACGGTGTTGTTTACTTTTATTTACATGAGATAAGTTATCAAAGCACTGGTGCCAATTTCATTCAATCTACTACATACTGCGTATGTTGTAGTATAATACATACTTTGTGTAAGTATAAATGCAAATTTGTGTAAATAGGTATATTTTTGTACTCATGCCAATATGATCATTTCTAAAAGTACAGTCATATTACACTTTTGTTAAAATATTGCCTCCAGTGCAACGGAACAAGATTCGTCAATGTATAGCTTGATGTAGTGCCATTGGTACAATATTGTGTCAATTTATGTATGTTTTCAAAGAATTTCATTTTTAAATTCATGCTTTACCTTACAATTTCAAAAATCAGAATATAACATTTATTTCTATCTGCCTATTATTGCATACCAATCTATGTGACTAACTTCAGAGGTCTATGTTAAGTTGTTTTGGACGTGATAAGCTGTAACAGACACCAAAGGATTTCAGAAGTGTATTCACCAATACTAATAATAATAACACATACACATTCAACATAGCTCCATACTAGGAAAGCGTCGCGGATGCCATGGACACACAAACAACCACAAATTATACCCAAACTCACGAGAGAAATAAATGTTCTCCCGGTCCAGGAATCGAACCTGGGAACTCAGCGTGGCATGGTAACTGTTCGAACACGGGTGCACTTAAAATTTACCAATATTGTTACAGAACACTAAAAACAACGGTGTTGGACTATATTATTATTTATTTATAGAAATAAGTTATATACCTAATTATAGAGAAACAAAATCACAGAAACAAGCTTGCAACATTACAATAAAAAAAATTATAAAAAGAAACTATTTTACATACCTATTTTATATTATAGTGGAGGCATTTTACAAATGCTATCAAAAATAACAGACCAATTTCTTAAGTCTTATTTCTAATCATGTATTTATTTGGCTTTCAGTCCAAATTTAAACAACCTAGGCAGGCTTTTTGAAAAAAAGTCGTGCTTTATATTCTGTAGTAAACAGCCATTTAATACATAGATTTAGTACTTAGGTACTCATACTAAATCTATGATTTAATACAGCCTGTATTAGTATGAAAACTTTTATAACATTATAATGTTATAAGAGTTTTCATACTTAAATTATAGCATGTTTTGTTTGTTGCAATTATTCATAGTCACTATTTTACATGTCATATCTATGCCATTCAAACCAATACAATAATACAATTTGTTCCAAGTATTTTGAACTATTATTGTAATATGGATGTAATGAATATTATGATGTTCTACTACCATAATATTCATTTAGTTTTGTGAAATAAATCCATTATTTTATTATAGTATAATAACGCACACATTCAACGCAGCCTCACACTAGGGAAACCCTGTGTAAACAACCACAAATTACACCCAAACTCACGAGATAAATAAATGTATACCATACAATATTTCACCCGGCCCGGGGATTGAACCTGTGACATCTGCGTGGTAACCGTTCAGCCACAAAGGCAGTTGAAGTACGTTATAATTCTGTCCTTTTAAAATAAAGTTCTATCAGATCAATACAATTTTTCTTATTATTTCCATAAAAACCACATTACATTATAACATAATATATTTGCATTAAAAAAACTATAAGCCAATCACCTTTATCTATAGATGAGATGAATAAGTCACTTACATACAGCCAAGTTACATTATTACTGCGTCCTGACTTAATTTCCTTAGAGTAGTTATAAATAGAGCACTATAATAATGTAAAATCAGCTTTAAAAACAACATCTAACAATTTCTAATTTAGCATGCTCTTAAATTGTAATTAAATAATGTGTGAAGTGTTCTAGGCATCCATACAATGAATGGTTGACTTACTTAAGATCACTGGAGACAGTCCCAGGGAGTTCCAATGGAATGAACCGTAAATAAACAAAATGACGAAGCTTAACTTCGCGATCATGCTCGCGTGCGTTGCTAAAGCAAGACGTATGATAAGTGCGGCAGTACGTGAGTAAGTAATTGCGAAAACGTCTGCCCGCGATTTTTTCGCAATTCGCAGTATGATCCAATCAATAGCGCGACACGAACTGGAATCGGCCACGCGCGCAACTGCCGATGCCGATATTAAACGAGGATGGTACATTCAATAACAAATACTACACGCAAAGATGACACAACAGTGTTTGATTACAATACAATAACTTGCTGTACAAGTATTTCTTTTTAATACAACTTATCTATTAAACTTAGACTTATATTCATCACTCTTTGTTCTCCTTATTGATATTTTAGTTAATAAATTAACTTCAACTTCAATGTTTTTGGCCACAACAATGACACTGAACAAAACAGCTGAGCATTTGACATTTCATTTAACTCACCACCTTTTAAAGAAAAATTTGTTATGGCATTGCTACTCAGTATTTTTGGACAGAAAACAAAAAGTTTTATACATATTAGTTTTGCGGAAGTCAATGAAATAAAGAGCCAGCTTGTTGGGTTTCCAATGCGAGGTAATTTACCAAGATGGTACAATATCGGCATAATTTAGCATCGTAATTGGGCCTAGTCTAAGTCTAAACTTACACGTAGTAAGAGCGCAGGCGCGAGCAGCCGCGTCAATCGCCTTGCACTTATGAGTATTGAGGAAGGCACAGCATGGCACGACGACAACGTTAAGTGTATACATCTCCTTCAGTAGTGTTATTAATGGAAAACTAGTAATAAAAGCCTGGTTTAGACAATTTTATGTAGGAACGATAAAATGTTCGCCAGACAATCGATAACAGAAAGGAAAAGAAGCGGTTTTCGCTTATTGGGTAGGAATTGAAATGTTTTTACAGGTAAGTGAAATTTATATCAATAGTTTCATAGAAAGACCGCACATGATTATGATATCATTACGCAGGGCCGCGTCGTAGTGGTGTGGTTGTCGTGGCTGGCCGGCGGTGTGTGCGGCGTCATCATTTTACTTCTCATCATCTGCTACTGCCGCCTCATGCCGCGCCATCAAAAATCCCTTGGTAAATCTAGCCATATTTTATAGTACCTACTATTTTATATTTTTTGTATTGATGTATGTACTTACCTAAATCCGATACCTAATTTCCTTCCAGACGAGCAATACCTCAAGGATACCTACACAATAAAGGAAAACTATGCTTGCACTAGCCAAGGAAATCACAGTAGAGTGAAACATGCAGAAGTAGGTTGAAAATAAACTAAACTACAATATTCAGGGACAATCTTATATTTTGATCCTTCTAGAGGATAAAATATGGAAAGCAAATTCGCCATGCCACATTGTACCTCGGTACCTTATTTAGATGCCTTCATGTATATTTTTCCTTCATGCCTATAAATAAATTGGTTCACTTGGGTGGACAATACAACCCTCCTTGTCATAAACAACGCATTTGCATTTTGGTAACAAAGTTTTTTTCATTGAAAAATGTCAATTGCGCTTATTTTAATTCTGTCTCAGCGCAATCTTTGTATCAAACGAGTTGATTATTCCACGAAAATGAATTTAACATGGTGGTGAAACATTCTGACATTCAATAAACTTAATTACAATAAAATCAAATTTAATATTTTTCCAGATTTTTCCAATATTTTCCTTTAATTTTCCACATTTGACATTGACACCTGTCAAAAGTTGAAGTTACTAAACGAAAACGTTGGAGCTAAACAACAAGTGGTGATAAGGGTGGTAACAAATAAAACTTCAAAAGATATTTCTTGTCGTAGAATATGAGCTTTCGAAATTATATGTTTCTAATTATATATTTCCAATATTTTAATTTTTTCGGAAAATTACCCAACAAACCCAACCCAAATTACCTGGCCGAGTAAAGAAACAAATTTGTCACAGATGGCGCTACGTCAAAAAAGTCGTTATAAACCAAGAACAAAGATCTGTAGCAAGCAAATAGAAAATTTCGAAGGTCCGACTGGTTTGTTCCGTGGCTTAGTTAGCATAGCGTCTGACACGGTTTGCTAGAAGACCTTGGATTTAAGCCAGCCGGATCTAAGAATTTTTTTCTAAGTGTTCAATCTTTGTATTAATAGTTATATTAAAAGTAAAATCAAATAAGAATAAAAAAATGGCTTATAAGCTATAAGGGGGCTGTCGATCTCGTTTTGCTATTCCTAATATATGTTAATAGCTCAGTTTCACTAAAAACTTCAATGACGGTGTTCACGATACCTTGACTTATCAAGCAAGCAAACGGCAGCATAAGCATGCACATGTACACTGTGCACATAGGTAGGGTAGGAGAGGTTAACATAAAAAAAATACGTACGAAATAGTTTACTAAGTAATACTTACACGAAAAACTTTTCGAGTGCTATGCGTCTTTGATTTTTAAATTTAATATAATGTCGAGGTGCAAGTTCAACGGCACGCGCGCCCGGTGAGCTTCGCGGGCGATCACCACGCACACACGCATTCGCCCCCGCATTGGCATCGCGCGCCGCCTGCGCAGCCTGCGCCCGTGCCCGCCGCTGCGCAGCAGTACGCCTCTAGTAGTAGTAAGTCGCAAAATCTTCTGGAGTATATCATAGTTTTCTGCAGTGCAAGTAAAACTACACTACATACGTACCTATACATACATAGTCCTATCACCTGGCAGCATCAAGCTCAAGGACTACTCATGTGCAAGTAGTGGCTTAAATGTTATAAGTTGGTAGTTACATGATTTTTTTTCTTAGTTTTAATTGCACTGTGTGCAGTGCTGGACGAGTTAGAGGAGGGCGACAGCACGAGCGGTGCGGAGGCTCTTAAAACTCGCTCGCTGCCAGCCTTCCTGCGCCCGCGGCCGCGCCCTCTCTCCACCGACGCCGACCTGCATCAGCTCTACGCTAAGGTGGCAGAGTACCTTTATGCATAACGAGTATAGAGTTATCAGCTCATAAGACCCCTGGTGGCTAACGCGAGACGTATTTTTTCCCTACACATATAAACCACATCATGCTTTACTGGCTTTCTTGGTTGATGTTTCTATTTAAACAAGTTTTAAAGGTAAAATACCCTGCATGATGAAATATATTTCGGGTTCTGAAAAATCATCTAACAATTGTATGGCAAAAAAGACATGCCAGCGCCATCTATTGATTAACGACGTCTATCTTCTTGGACATACAAAGCAAAATGTACGTAGTGATTAGACGCAAAGAGTACCTTGAATATACAGATAGACCGTGCTAAGTACTTCGGTCCGTTCAGTACCTATAATTTAATTTTTCCTAAGTAACATTCATCACGCGTATGGACAGGTGAACTTAAGCAAGAAGCACAAGAACCGAATGCGCAGCGAGCACGCTGCCATCATCGCGCTGAGCAAATCACGCAGCCAGTGCCTCGACGGTGATGCCGTCATCGTCTACGACCAGCGCACGCAGCTCTGAGAGCCTTTTCGCCTGCGTTGTTGGGCCTGGTGCAGCATGTGAGCGCTATCTAACATGAATACTCGTGTTACCGATTTTTGCGGATTTACCACAAATTTTGGGGAAACAATTATTTGGGCACTTTTTATATAAATGATTAATAAATTTTCTGAGGTATAATTTATTTTTCACGCAATAATTAGAATCAAATTTCGAGTATTTAAAAGTACTCTGTGGCAATAATAACACAGTACTCATGCGCTGTGTAGCTCTCGAGCTGCTCAAAATCAGGGAAAATTTTTCGTTTTAACACTACTTCGACATATCTTACTAATTCAACAGTTAATACCATAGTTTTTTCTACCTATATAGTAGATTCCCATACACTTTAGTCTATGGTTAATGCCTGCTAAAAATGTACTCAATAGATGGCCGGCCTGGACATTGTAGGTACTTATTATATCTATGACTAAAACAATAATTAAATTGACCATTATTGTACCCACAAGGTGCTGCTCTTTGAAATTGAAGTACAGTCAGTGCTTTGAATTGTTTGTCTGTTGAAGCTTTTAGACGCGTTTATAAGTATTACCATGGACCAATGACTAGAAGGATTGTTAATCGCGATATAAGAAAGCATAGTCGGGTATTTAGTACCTATTGGTGGACCAGAAGTAGCGACGGGTACCAACTAGTTGTTTTTGTAACGAATTTGTGCAAAGCTATTGTATGAAAGCTACTCTAATTTCAAGTGATAACTAGAGATGAAACGGATATGTGGTAAGTACCCGGTATCCGGCCTATCCGGATATCGGATGTTTAAAACTGAAAAAAATTCATAATCAGTACGCCAAATAAATACACACGCAAAATAGGCGCTTTGTCGTCGAGTTGCGGATACTAGCCCGTTGCACCAAGTACCAAGTAAATTGATTTATTGATTAAAGGTAACAGAATACAGTAAACAGCAACTACAGGATCGTCGACAATCTGTTTATTAATTGAAATTGAAAGAACTATGAAGCTAGATAACGTTATCTGTAAATTTAGTACTCAAATTTCAATAAAGGTAAATTATGGTAGATGAAGATCAGTTGTTCTGCATTAAGTGGTAAGAGTTGGTTCTATTTATTTTCATAAATGAGACCAGCTTCAGAGGACAGTTTTTCACTATAAACTCTTACAAACTTTGTTAAATTTTAAGTACTACTTGTAATTGCCAAACGATCAAATGAAAGGATCGCGATCTCGATCGATTTGACCTGTCTTAAGCACACATTGTACATTGTTTACCTACCTACAATTACGAAACGTGTAAGTAGATTTTTTTTTTGCCAAATCTGGTATCAAGACTTAGAATTAGTTATATCAGAAATAAATTAAATAAATCAAATAGAAACAAAATAATAACGGGAGTATCAAGTGCTAGGCTTATAATTGTAACAACTAGAAAAGAAAAAAGTGGAAATTTTAATATAGCCAAAGAATGATTCAATTGCTTTTTTCCTTCTCCATTCTTCTGTTATATATTTGTTGTATGACCGAATAAATTAATCGTTTTTGTAAAAACCAAGTGACCACAACAAATCAAATCGTCAATGTGAAAGTGCAATCATTAACTAATCAATCAATCATGGCCATGCGCGCCGTGAACCGGTCGCGACATGTTTACGGTAGTAAGTCAGATACACCGCGGCCGGATATCCGGTTATCCGGCCAAGGTGCCCACCGGATATCCGGTATCCGGTCAAATCACTATCCGTTTCATCTGTAGTGACTACAAACAGCTCAAGTAGGTGAAGCTTATTGCATTCATTTTATGGCTACTACCGGCTATTTTTTATTTGCTTAGGATTAGCGCCATCTACCCATGTTAGTAAGGGTTAACTTTTAAATTAGTTTGTAACACACAATATTTGATAAAATTCAGAAAATAATTTTAGCTTTTAGCTTATGAATTTCTTGATTTATTACAAGGAAAAAACAGACCGCTTACATATCATATTAAAGAGGAATTTATAGTTTATGTTCACTGCCATTTACTTCATAAAAATTATTTCCAGGCTGTCGATTAGCGCCAGCTAGATATAAGACGGGATTTTGACCACTTTCTGAGTTACGATCTGTAGTAGAGATTAGCACTCCTCTTGAGTCATTTGTCCATAGTGTTACATTCATATTAAATTTAATTAAGGCCTAGTTAGGTAATTTTTTGTATTCTAATTTAAGTAGTAAAATACGATATCCATCCAAAATTTAAAATGTTGCTTTGAACGAATTGGCAAAAATATTGTGATCGTTATTGTGATATGAATTACACGAAGTTTCCAATGAGCTATGTATTTACTTTTCAACAATCGTTAAATATATTTATTTTATTTATTTATTTAAGGGAAGGTCAACAGCTTAAAACGAAAGTAAATAATAATAATAATAATAACTGAGAGCCAATTAAAGATCCTCACAAATAAAAACATAATAAAAGAAATCTGGTTGCAGGATTCACTTAACTTATTATATAAAACATAAAAAAAAAAGAAACACCATAGACGTTGAAAGCCTCACTAAAGGCCCATTTAGATGGAGAGAGTTTATCGTACGCTTCGTGACGAAAGATCGTACGTGATTATCATAAGCAATAATCGCCATAAGATTATCGTATGATAATGTTTACATTCAGGCAAGAACTAAAATCTCGCCTACGATTATGTCATACGAGATTCGCAAGCAACTTAATCGCCTCCTCGACTGTTTACACGGAGAAATAAGTGGTAAGGAGATTCTTGCTTACGAGTTTTCGACTTGTCTAAACACGATCTCGTATGACATTATTTCAAGTTCATACGATTAAGGCCCATTTAGATCGAGAGAGTTTCTCGTCTCGAAGATACGATTATCGAAAGAATATAAAAAGCTTTCCTCGTCTAAACATTTGCGATTATCGACCTTACACGTGAGCGATAATCGCCTCGCCTTTCAATATTGAACGTCTCCGTGTAAACAGAACTCAAATCAAATCAAATCAAATCATTTATTTCTTTGTGATACACAGGTTATAAAGTTGTTACAAGAATGAATTTTGAATCACTGTGATCCGCCTTATGGCATACAAAGTTTTCTTAGTTTTAGTAATTCTCATGCAATAATTTGTAATAATATTATAATCATGCAGTCCAATTAATGCAACCTATTACTAATGAAACATAATAACAATAGTAAAATAATCAATAACAAATTTCATAATTTGAAATGTAAATTTTATAAGAAATCTTCAATATTATAGAATGTCCAATCATTTAGGTAATTAAATAATAATTTCTTAAATTCTGCACAATCGTTGCAATTCCTAATTTCAAGTGGAAGTTTGTTATAAACCTTCGTAGCCATTACTATTACACTCTTTTGAAGTAGAGCAGTTTTACATGATCTACTTTTAATTAATAACTCGAAAGCAAAAATCGTATTGCGAGTTTCTGTGCCATCCGTTTCTACCACGAGTGCAGTGCGCGAGGGTGTTTTGATTATCACTGCTTTTTTAAGACAAGAATTAATGAAACGAGAACGAAAAAAAATTTGAATTAAGAAATGTTATAAAATTTGAAAAAAATAAAAAATGTATATTTCTCTACAATGCAATGAGCTTAACATTATCAGCAGTTCCAAATTTGAATGATTCTTGCGTCATTTCGATATGTCCATAGTCAATACCGCAGTAATCATTGAACTCGAATGGCGATTCTCGCACTCAAAACGATTGGAACCGATTTGTACGATAATCGTATGAACTTGAAGAAATGTCATACGAGATCGTGTTTAGACAAGTCGAAAACTCGTAAGCAAGAATCTCCTTACTACATATTTCTCTGTGTAAACAGTCGAGGAGGCGATTAATTGCTTGCGAATCTCGTATGACATAATCGCAGGCGAGATTTTAGTTCTTGCCTGAATGTAAACATTATGATACGATAATCTTATGGCGATTATTGCTTACGATAATCGCCTACGAGTTTTCGTCACGAAGCGTGCGAAAAACTGTCTCCATCTAAATGGGCCTTTATCCTACAAATCGGTTCGAACCGATTTGAGTGCGAGAATTATGCCATTCGAGTTCAGTGATTACTGCGGTATTGACTATATCAAAATGACGCAAAAATCATTGAAATTTGGTACTGCTGATAATATTAAGTTCATTGCACTGTATAGAAATATAGATTTTTTTAAATTTTTTTTTTAAATTTTTTTACATTTCTTAACCCTTTTTTTTCTTTTTAGTTTCCTTAATTCTTGTCTTAGAAAAGCAGTGATAATCAAAATACCCTCGCGCACTGTACTCATGGTAGAAACGGCTGGCACAAAAACTCGAAATACGATTTCTGCTTTCAAGTTCTGTTTAGACGGAGACGTTCAATATTGAAAGGCGAGGCGAGTATCGCTCACGTGGAAGGGCGATAATCGCGAATGTTTAGACGAAGAAGCTTTTTATATTCTTTCGATAATCGTATCTTCGAGACGAGAAACTCTCTCCATCTAAATGGGCCTTAAGAGTCGTATTCTAGAACTCTACGCAATGCTCAAGTCAGGACTTGAGTATGACTTCAAAGCACTAGAAATCATACTCAAGTTAGCTCAAGTCCTGACTTGAGCATTGAGTAGAGTTCTAGAATACGACCCTAAGAGTCAAAGAAGTGCTCACAGAGATTGTTATACTTGGCAGTCACCTGTTCGATAACACAAGAATCGAATAAACTTTTTTTTTGCACATTTTCAAGTCGCGAAATATATATATGATAACGAGGATTCCAAATTTGGCTGGCAGATTCTAAAATGCTACGTAAATGTAAACACCCTCAGGTAAATAAAAAAATCCTTAAAAAAAGAATTCGTACCTACTACGTGAGCCAGCGATGACAGGGAGTTAGTCTTTAATTCCTTGCCATCAGACTGATATATTGAAGCGTAATTAAGTAATCATATAGCATTGCAATTACTTAACAATTAATATGATTATCTAGGCGTCAATAAAACCGTGGTTAGAATATTCTAAAAAACAATTAAAAGTTATCTACTTAACTCAAAATGAAACAAAGTTTTTGTGAGCTAGTTCTATACAAAACAGTCCTTACTCAAAAATATAAAATTATTTTTTAACTTAAATACATTTGGCAAGTAGGAAATTGTTTAGATACCTGCAATAAACTGTAACCTATACATGAATTTTAATAAACTTTCACAAGAAGAGACAAATTGGGTTTTTTATCTATTCTCAATAAATATTATTTTTGAGTTAACACACTATTGTATGTATAGTGCGATATGGTAAAATAATTGTAAGCTAATGTCTATTATGGCAAGGAAATGATAAAATCAAACAGATATTTTGCGCAATTTGTGTGGGGAATCAAAATTATTACTCTCGAAGTTGATATTTTTGTTCTAAAGTCGTATTAGAGAATATTTACGTCGTACATCCAGCACCTAAACGATGTCCGGACCTTTTCGTCGTGTACTATTTCAAATTTCAATAACTAGGCATTTATACACAGCACAGTGTACAGGAATTAAAACTTCGTATACGTATTATATAACTATATTTAATGCACACGACACACAAAGCAGGTAGCGCAGTACAAAATACTTATAAGACGGCTTTAATCACTTATCTTAGAATAAGTACGTTAATCAAAAGTAAATATAATTCCCTATGGTCAGTGACAAAGAGTCACGCAAGTTATTTTCTAATTATGTCTTGCTTATTGCTTGTTTCTTCTTTTCCATCCCTTAAAAATAATACACAGCATCCAGAGTGCGAAAATTAAAATGCAAGCTATCCTCTACTTAATTGTAGATAACATAACGCGAAATACGTTGATATTAAAAACATAAACATACTTAAGTCATACGACAACTAGGATTACTAGACAATCTATATTCTATCTAGCCTCATAGTTACGTATGTTGGCGTCACGACTAGCAGAATGTTTGGAAACTAGCGAGTGTTGGGTAGGTCTTGAGTCGTAGCAACTCGAGCTCTGTCTGCAGAAGAACTATAGTAGTGTGGTTGGCCTGCACTTCGCGTATCAACTGGCTACGAGCCATCAGCACCTCTAATCTGAAAAATGTAAACATTTTAATATTATACTCTTAGAAATACCAAAGCCTTATTCAGATTGGCGGCGGGCGCGGGTGCGTGTAAATAAAATGTAGGTAGACGCTCGTTGCGTTCACAGTGGCCGCGCTCGCCGCGCGTATAGATATTGGCTCGGTCCGCCTATATCTTTCACAGTGCTTGGTCTAGCGTCTAGCATCTATCCGCTCGTAGTCGCTTCGGCACTCTGAAAGGGAAGACGTCAAGACCCGCGCGCCCGCACCCGCCGCCGCGCTCGCGCCTGTGCTCTGAATGAGCCCTTAGGTTTATTTCCGAATAAGTCCATACGCAGCCATAAGTATACAGTGGGAACCACATATGATTATACGTCAAAGTACTTTCATCACATGAATATAAAAAAAACATGAATTATACAAAAAAGCCGTGAAAACCTAATGTTTTGACCTACCGCTCCTTTTCTTCTTAGGCCGTGGGTTCTGGGTCCGCACTTCTGAATTTCTCAAAATTTAGAGCCTATGCACACGGTGTATTTTATACGCGCTGACGATGCACATTTCAGGAACGCGCGTCGTCAGCGCCGTGGAGGCTCAAAAAGCAGATTATTGCGTTTGTATCGATTCAAACAAGATGCAAGACGCGCGCGAGAAGCGCTTTCGAAGCTCGTCTGTATCGCTTTGCATGCGTTTGAATCGATTCGCGTTTTCGAAGCGCGTTTACGGAGCCACTGCAGTCGTGAACGTGTGTAAAGGTTTAGTCGCTGCGACTACATCGCGTTTGACTCGCGTCATCTGTGCGTCGTCGGCGTGTATAAAATACGCCGTATGCATAGGCTCTTATGTGCGAAATTTAATTTAAATTTAGAATGAGCTTTTCAGTAAAGGAAAACTTTATGAATAATAAAACCTGCACGTCGAAGAAGGTTCACAACCTTCAGAAAACTTGGGAAGTCTACCAGTCCAGTAGACTTCTCACTTCTCACCTATTTATTCATCTCACGATGTATAAATAGGTTGTTAAAGAAACAAATTATGTACATGTGAAATTTTATAACTCTCCTATTTAAACATAAAAAAATCATCACCGAATTTCGTCGTTTAAACTCTCTCTGAAAAGTTATAATTTTGCAGATGAGGCACTATTAAACCAAAGTTGCGAGTTTACAATATGGTGTACCTTTTTTTGAACACTCGACGGATGCGAATGGGGCCAAGCGGATCCTCGTTTAGGCGTTTCTCCGACACTTTGAGGAGTAAGTTGATGATCAATTTCTCCAACTTAGCCGATTCAGCTTCCAGTTCACTTATTTTCACCTAGATATAATAATTCTGTTATTGATTACGTATGTACGTATAGTCAAATATCTGCCTAAGTGACAAAATGTTCTTGAAAGAAACCACGACAAAACGTGGGCCTTGCGATGTTACCTGTATTTCTTCGCAGCGGTGTGCGCTTTCCTGCAGCACGCGGTCTATAGACATTTTGTTGGCAGCCATCTCCTTTTCCAGTCGCATGTAGTCCATTTCATCTGTGTAACCCTCCGTTTTGTTCTTCAAATAGAACTGAAGTTCTTTAGGGATCTAAAAAGCGCTCCAAAGATTAAAGTCCATCAATAGGCTAATAAATACTTAGGGTGCGTTCACACGGCACGTGATGTCAAACGCGCCAATTTGCTGCCACTCACACACAAACTGCCTCCGTGGCCGAATGGTTACTTTTTCGGACTGCCACGCAGAGGTCCCAGGTTCGATCCCCGGGCCGGGAGAAACATTTTAACGGCCTACATTTATTTCTCTCGTGAGCTTGGGTGTAATTTATGGTTGTCTATGTGTATGTCCACGGCATCCGCGGCATATGCGTTATTTGTACGCGCGAGCTCGCAAAACAGACGAGTCTGTGCAGCTTAAGGCCGACACGCGTGACGGCGCTTTTGAATTATTGACCAGCGGCGGATCCGACACACGGGCGAGCACGAGCGCGCAAGCAGCAGACCTATATCTAAATATATGCTATAAGATATCTAATAGAATTTAATTCGATTGAATTTTTTAAGAGTTCAAATTCCCTCAAGATATCTCGAAGAAGGTTTCTAGGTAATTTAAAGTAAAAGTGGAAACAACTTTATTAGTAGATCACAAGAGTGCTTCGAGAAGTTATCTGTATGTAGTGTTAAGAGTGATTCTTATCTTTTTTCTTTAGTAACCTTCTAGAACGCTACAGGACCATTTGTAGAACAGGATTCAATCTTGTAGACAGTTTTTAGGTAATTTATAGTCTAGGATAGTTTTCTTAGTAATGCTATTTTAAAACTAAAGAGTTACAAACCATAAGACGCAATTCTCTTAATACTAACAGATTTTAAGTTTAATGACTTACAAAATATAAACTAATACAATTGCAACATGGCAAAATTAGACATAATATTTCTGACTTTTTCGCGCAATGTTTAATTGTTTAGAAAGCGCGAATTGATGTGCGACTTTAAATACATTGTGAAAAGTTATGAAAAACCTGTCATAAAACTAATGCGTTGCATAAACCTGAATTTTAAATATTTATGTATAAATATAAACTTAATAAAAAGACAGTTATCGATTTTCGGTTTTAAATATTTATGGAAAGCTTAAATACCATACAAAATAACTCACAAAACAAACCATTTCCAAGAAGTTCTAGGTTTCTTTAAGTTAATTTCAAATTAGATTTACTTTTCAAAACGAAAATAAATTTTTCATAGTCATTCTTTAAAAATAAAAATGGCGATAAGAATTTAAAGCCTTTTTCAAAGCTTTATCTATGGAAAAACGTTACAATACGAAAAGATTATTTTTTGCTTTAGAGTAGTTGATCTTGTAGAAGAATATTCACTCCTATGAAGCTTTTATGGTTGTCTACAAAACGCGATGTTTCTAAGCGATTTTTTCTTTTGACAGTATTACAAAGCCTTTATAAGGAGTAAAAGTTGTAGAAGGTTGTATGGAATGGTGATCGTTTCATGCAATTAGTAACCTTTCACACGTCACCCAAGGTCAAAAAAACAATTGAAGAAATCCAATTTGTTGCAAAAAAACGTTATTCTGTGTAATTATATGGAATGTGTTATATATGACTAGTAAGGTGGATAAATTCCCAATAAGATAAGATATATTTCAATGACATTTGAGGTTATTTCTTCACGCCAACTACATTTCACACAATGATTTCACTGTATTCAATTGATAGACGGCACATGCACATACACAACAGTACAGTCGTTTACGTGCTCATTTCAAATTGTTTTTATCACTTCAGAACACGGAATTACTTCACAATATTCATTTATTTGTCAACAAACAAAAATGCATCACATCACCGGCAAATGAAATATATCTAGAATAAACTTAACAACACTAGTTTTTAGAGTATTAGTAGACCTTACTTGACATGTATAGAACAATTTTACTAAAAATAATCAGTTGATCTACATATGAACTTAAAATAAGTACTATAGAGTAAATCTTAGGAGAGATCACACTCAATTAAGTTATTTGGTATTAAGAACGTTTTAAAGTTTTGACTTGAGTGAAATAACTGTATAAGAACAATTTCTTTTTTCTAAAACCATTTATAGAACTATTATCTAAATCTATACCATATTAACACTGTTTATAGATATAATAGTTTTGAGGCGTATAAAGTGTGCTCCTTGAGCGTGACGGCACTCGACCAGCGAAACGGGCCGCGGGCTGTCGGAAGCCGTCTTTATATTTACTTAGTACCTATACAAACAATCTCCGATAAACATGCACTTCGTCAAAGATAATACATAAGTGTACCTTGAGTCGCTCATAGGAGTAGAGCTCCTGACGCATATGGCGCAGTTTCATCTTCATCTGTGCGTGCTCCCATTCCTTAGCGAGAATTCCCTTGCGGAACTCGATTTGGCGGCGCATCATGCGCAGTTTAATATCGCCCACTTTCTATAAGTTGAAAAAACGACAAATTTAATATGAATTGGAGACGACAAACTGTGTGTGCATCGGTGGCGTAGCGTGGGGGCTATGGCCCCAAGCGGCATGAAAAAGGGGGACGGAGCGGCGGACAGTGCGGCTGAGCCCTAACTAATCAAAATTATTTTATTTTTTACTTAAATTAGATGATAAATTCCACTATTTGAACAAACGACATTCTGAACAACACAAAGATGGCGACGGCAGGTGAACATTAAAACACAATCAAGCCGCAGGCGAACGAACTACTTTTGTAATCGTGAAAATAGAGGGGGCATCAAATTTAATATTGGCCCCGGCGGCAGAAATCGACGCTACGCTACAGGTGTGAATCACTCAGATCATTAACGTTTTCCTCCCAAATTCTTTAATTTGATTGTACCTTAATGAGATTATTAATGGCGTCGACGTCGGAGCGCAGGATAAGCGCTGCATCTTCAAAATCTTCAAAGTGGCCGGTTGTCACAACCTCCACTTGTCCAGCAGGCACTACTATCTGCAACAGATCATTTTTATATGCTGATACTGGATAACAAGGAAGTGTTAGTAGATTTTGAAATCCGTCAAGTGGCTTGTTTACCAGTTTTCATGGCGTCGCCATGTCTGAGATCCCGAGTTCGATCCCCGGTGGGTCAATGTAGAAAAACTACCTTTTCTATATTGTATCGGGTCTCGGAGTTTGTTGTAACGTCGTTGTTTCCGGTTTCCATAACAAGTGCTATTATTACGACTGCTACTAAACGAACTGCATGCGCGAAGTCCATATAATAAAATTTCATGCAGACGAAACCGGCTGCATGCAGTCAACATTAGTTCAGCAACTTCAGGAGCTCAGTGTGAAAGTTACTATAAGCATACTTCTGTTACTATTGTTACGCCACCGGTGTTTAATTACTAAAACCAATTATTGTTTTACGTAATTTTAAGGAGCGACGCGAGCGCACACCCACGCATCAAGGAATGTCCTATCGATCTACCAGACGGAAATACAAAACGTGATACCGGTAATTACTTACTTGACTGGTGGAATGAGACAACGTCATAGAACGTAAAAGAAAGATGGCGTAAGGGACAAATAATAAAACCAAATTTTACTTGAAAATTATCACATTAAAAAATCCTGTTTACAGTCTGTAGGTACCATACTTAACTGTCTACCGAATTAATTAAAAGTTAACTAAAATAACAATTCTTTCTACAGTCGGCGATTTAATTCATTTTTATTTACTATTAAGTTACTTGAATCTGTTTTATGTTGATTAAACTTTCAAATAATCATTACCTCTTGGCGTTACCAAAAAAAAATGGTTTCAGACGCAAAAAAAAACAAATTATACATTCTCGTAAGAATGTCAATTAATACATTTGATTCTCGGACTAGCGGCGCTTGAAGTTGATGTCTCAACTGCATGCAGTTGAATTTCAACAGCATGCAGTTAATGTATGAAGTCGTTATCAACTTCATGCATTAACTGCAAACATGCAGTGATTGACTGCAGCGATTGTTAGCAGCCTTACTTTGGGATCAGAGCAGTAAATCTAATGTTTAATATTGATTATGTTAGCAGAACAAAGTCGCATGAGATTTGCAGAACAGACCTGGAAGGTGGTAGTTGGGTGGTACCTGTATGGTGCGGTTCATGGCGGTGTTTCGTACGTGCTCGCGATGCTGCTGTAGGTGCTGATGGCCGTTGGCAACGAAGTTCCGCCGCGCACTCAACGCGCGTGTCCAAGTCGACATCGCGCTTTCCACATATCCCATTTCCAACGCCAGAGCGCGCATCTATACCACATTGCCACATGCTCATCAGATTAAGGGTCGTATTCCAGAACTCTACTCAATGCTCAAGTCAGGATCTGAGTATGATTTCAAGCACTGGAAATACGACCCTAATGGAAGGGGACTTGAGTATGATTTCGAGTGGTTTAAACCATACTCAAATCCTGACTTGAGCATTGAGTTGAGTTCTAGAATGCGACCCTAAATTTAGAGACAAACCTACGTGAAGAAATGCGAAATGTTAGGGGCACGCATTTTCATGCGATCGTCACTAGTAAATTGAAAGGTGCGTACAGATGTCGCGCGCTATACGCGTGCTGCATGCGTGCAATTAAATGCATGTTAATAAATGCGGCGCGAGAATGGCGCGCCAACGGTACGCGAATGGCACGCGTACAGATCGCACAACGTAATGCACGTGTGCAACTCGCAAGCCTTTCGCAAACAGGCGCATTTGCGTCGCATTCACCATATCTGTACGCAACCTAAACGCCTTTTACCTTAAACTGGCGAACACACCCCACAACTAATCAATTTACTAGCTCAAAGAATATACGGTTTAGGTATAGTATGATGTCTTACTCGAATTTCATTGTCAATCTTGACACGGCGCAGACGACACATAGAAACCCATAGGCCCTCGTCCAGCACGGCCGGCATGTTACTTATCTGATCCAGTAGCTCCACCCTGAATGGCAGCAAAGCACATAGTCTTATATAGATATGAAGTACATGGTATACCTGATGTGACCATTATTTTTTCCCTCAAAGCGGGACGCCCTGTCACTTTCTTATTGTTTTAAAAATAATACACAACGTTTATGATAGTTGCGAAATGTTTCAAAGATTGAACACTTTTAAAAATAACTAAAAATGTTTGAAGATCAAAAATTAAAAAAAGAACTAATCTTGTGTAGTATGGTGAGCGTGCATTATAAATTTTTCGCTTTATTAATGACGCTTGAGTCCTGTTTTGTCGAAGCGGGACATTGTTAAGTACCTATTTTACAGCGGGTCACGTTATAAATATTACTAAATTACAACAGTTACAAGCACTGTTCACAGTTCAAGTGGTAAGGGATCTTGGTGTGCTTCATGATCATAAGTTGCTATTTGCTTCGCATGTAGATAGCTCTCGGGTTTGTGATGCGTAACTCCAGAAGCTTCAGACACTAAAAATTTCATATTGCTCATTTGTCTGCAGCCACCTGGAATACGCATAGCAGGTCTGGAGTCCCCAGTACCTTACCTACATATCGCGTAGGGTAAAACCGGGTTAGATACCTACTTTTTGAAAGGGCCTCCTAGTTTAAAAATTATTAGTTTACCATGAAAAATTTCTATGGATAGAACTAGTTTAATTTTTTACATTAGATTAAGACTTGATTTTATTGATCTAACTCTTACTGATTTTGAAAAAATTTACTTTTTGCTAACCTGTTTTTTTGAGGATAGGTAGGTAGGTAGGACCTATATGGATAGACGCCACACGATGAAAATACTAAGAAGGTTCGATGCACTTTAGAATAAAATAGTAACATTCATAATAAAATCTTTTATTTGTAATCTTTAATATATTGTGTATACATCTTTAATAATAAATATATACGTATTTAAAGTTACTACCCTCTTCACTTCGTATTTTTGTAGCTATACAAAAATATTTGCTCTTTGAACAGTGAATAATTTGTCTTTTTGGTACTTTTACTTACTTTCAAACTATTATCACTTACTTGTCTTTTTCACTAAAATAATGTATTTTTTAATTTTCTTTTCATGACTTTTTGTCTTATCCTTTGCCCCTAATACCGCCAATAACCTATACCGCGAAAAATCGAGGCGACTATCGTATTCGACATGGATAGATACCCTTTTATTATTTAACTAAGCTATATACGAAAGAGCGATTATTGACACCTAGGTGCGCAGTTAATGTACCAGTGTATAGTTATAATAAAAATAAAACGGAAAATTTGAACCGTTTGTCGTGTTCGCCGCGGAGATAAACGCATGCACAAGCCAAACGCGTCTATTCCACACAAAGCCCTGCAGGAACTTTGATGAGTGGTGTTTAGACTCCTTATTTAAATTAATTATTCTTTGTTGCGATTTGGGGAAATTAGGTTTTTTGAAAACGAGGCACCTATCCCACTGCGGCTTGTTTTGCAAAATGTGCAAATAAGATTTATTAAGTTCTTAGGTTTACGAAGTAGGAAGCGGTACGAGTCAAACCGGTATCTTGATATATATAAGAAACATAATTTTTTGCCACTAGAGGTACGACGTCAGATAGCAGACTAAGGGTCGTATTCTAGAACTCTACTCATGCTCAAGTCAGGATTTGAGTATGGTTTAAAGCACTTGATATCATACTCAAGTCCCTGCCATTAGGGTCGTATTTCCAGCGCTTGTGTTGACAGTGCAATCCTGACTTGAGCATTGAATAGAGTTCTAGAATACGACCCTTAGAGCCCCTACAAAGTTCCTTAGGTTTAATTCACTTTTATGCGTACCTATCCTCTATTCCCACCTGTTCTGTTGAGTAGTTCTATCGGCAGAACTATTGGGATTTTTTTTACCATTAGTTCTGTGATTTATAAGACTATGCTTTACACCCTGCTTCAATCCCAGATATTCCCACCTGTTCTGTTGAGTAGTTCTGTCGGCAGAACTATTGGGATTTATTTTACCATTAGTTCTGTTCACAAAATAATTCCCACCGGTTCCGTTGAATAGTTCTGTCGGCATGGCCTCTACGAATTATCGACGGAATGCATATCTCTTACGTGCGAGTAATAAATAGCTTCAATGATTTGTCCAAGCTGGTTGATATTGACCTTTTTAACATTAGTGTTGCATCGGTGAAGCGTCTTATTAGTAGTTTTGTTTTTTGGCGAGTAGGTAATATACTAAGTGTTGCGAAAATGTATATAGTACAAATTAGTATCTAGTTATAATTTAAAGCCCATTTTCTCAATGTGTGTCTATCGGTGAGGTCTTTCTTTGAGGTGGTATTTCAGCTTTTTATTCTGTAAGATAGCCGTTGGTCTTCCAATAAGTTAAAAAAAAACAAAATAACCAGAAATAGAGATGAAATGAGGGCCATCCATCCCTGGCAACTCATCAGACAAATGGGCCTTATCACTTTTAAATATCAACTCACGTTTGCGCTTAAATCACAAATTGGAAACCTCTAATAGTACAGCGCCAACAACTGACCGGTGTGTACATCTCCGTGTATTCCAAAAATATTACGTATTTATTGTAATAAAGATAATATCTCTAACAATGCCATGCTGTTCCATTCGGTGGTGTGGGAAAAACAGCAAAACATCTAATTACAAAACAAATGGAACCACATTTAATTGGTAATTAAGTATGTAATTTTTCAATTTTTGTCCATTATAACAAAGCTCAAGTTAAACTGGTCGATTTCAAGTGAAACAATTGACGACACCTATCAATTGTTTCGAATTCGGGCTGGCCAAATGGAGCGCAGTTGTCACCGTAACGATTTGGCAGAATAGTTTTCAAACAAATTAAATGACATTTGGTCTCTTTTTCTGGTTATATACTCGATGGCGGGACACGAAACGTAAAAGCGGCCTAAACGTAAAAACTGACTGTTAAGTATACCATCCCCCGTAGCATAGCTACGCATGATAGTCGCGTTACGCGCGATAAAATTAAATTCAATTTTATCGCGCACGTCGCGACTATCATGCGTAGCCATATTACGGGGGCTGATATTTGTATTTTGTTTAGTTCTTTATTTTGTTGCTAATACACCTGAATGAATGAATGAATGAATTTGTATCGTATTAATTATAAGAAGAATCCAAGAGGAAGGTGAAAGAAAAAGTACCCCTTAAAATATTCGATGCAGTCGTAATGCAGCAACGGCGAACGAACGCCAGTAGCGATAGCACTAGCCAGCTCGTAGAGAACCGCGGGAATCATGCTCGCGCGCTGGTGCCACTTGGGACGCTTTCTGTAAGGGCAAGTTGAATTTCGAAGTTATTTCAAATAGTATTAACCTGCTGTGTCTTGAAAAAATGTAATAGTAAGCATATGCGATAATAATAATAAATTCAACATTTAAAAAAATTCAAAATTTATATTTTAGGCATTGGGAGAAGCGAGAGTCTAAAATAGATATAATAATACTAGGGAAACCCTGCATCGCGGGTGCCATGGACACACACAGAGACAACCACAAATCACACAGAAACTGACGAGCGAAATAAATGTAGGTCATACAAATATTCCTCCCGGCGCGGGAAATCGAACCCGGGACCTCTGCGTGGCATTTCGACATGGTAACCGTTCGGCCACAGGTCTGTAATAATTATTAGTGGTCGAATGTTCGGATGCTCTTATACCTAAAGTTTACTTTTTCATGAACTGCTGTCGAAATGTGGAAGCGGCTTCCTAAAATATATATTTTCTTCTTTTAAATCCCAGGATGCGATGGTGAAAATGGTGTGGCATGTGACGTATTTATATTTTAAATACAAGATTTCCGGTGACTATTTAATGATCATATGACTAGGATCTTAGTGCTGGAAAATGTAAAACTTAAACTTCAAACGATGATACGGTGAAAAAATATTAAAACTAAAAAAAAATTATTGATGTCCGAAGTTTTTACATCTTTCACTTTCTATATTATTTACCTCACCAGTGGCCCAGCCCTTGGTACCGGTTGATGAGTACCATCCACCCTTTTGTGTCAAATTAATGTCAGAATGTGTGCTTTCTAATATTATATGTCAAAAACCATTCTCACGTTACAACTATAAAAATGCCGATTATGAGATTATTAATAGACTTATTTCTGAGACAAACTGGGACGAGTTGTTAAATAAAAAGTCAACTGAAGTGGCAGTTAATATTTTTTATAAAACAATTTTTAGCATTATCCGCAAGCATGTACCTTCAAAAGTTATAAAATCTAATTCATATCCTATTTGGTTCAATACATCTCTCATACACATTTTTAAAAATAAAAATAGGGCTTGGATAAAGTGGAAAAAATACAACAATGTCTCAGATTATCAAATCTTTTCAATATTTAGAGAACGTTTTAAAATAGAATCTGACTTGCGTTATAAAGCTTATATAAATTTAGTTGAATGTAGCATTAAAAAAAATGTTAAATACTTCTGGACTTATGTAGCAAGTCGAATACCCAGAGAAAGTATTGCGAGCACGATAGCTTATAAAAATAAATTAGTAAGTGATCCTCTTTCTATATGTAACATGTTTTCAGAGTTTTTCTTATCGGTGTTTGTTCCGTCAGATTTGGCGGTTAATTTTAAAATTGAAGATTTGGACTCAATGTGTAATGATAATAATAATAATGATAATAACATATGTGATACATATGTGGGACCATTACTTTTTGTACTTTATATTAATGATATTAGTAACTGTTTTAAATTTTGCAATTTCTTACTATACGCCGATGATTTAAAAATCTATCATAAAATTGAATGTACTCAGGACATTGAAAGCTTTCAGGGAGATTTAGATCGCTTTACCACTTACTGTACTGAAAATAAATTAAGTCTGAGCCTTAACAAATGTAAAAAGGTAACATTCACTAAGAAAAAATCGTACTTTGGACATTCATATGAGCTTTGTGGAGTAAGATTGGAGACGGTTAATACTATTAAAGACCTTGGAGTTACACTTGATTCCAAGTTACATTTGGACACACATGTTGAGAGTATCATCAACAAGGCCTTTAGGTCATATGGCTTTGTCATCCGCTCCAGTGTAGAATTTAAAATGCCTTCATCTTTTTTGATTTTATATAAGTCACTTGTTAGATCTCAATTAGAATACGCTGTACCAATTTGGAATCCTTATTACAAAAAATACACACTCAATATAGAGAGGGTGCAGAAAAAATTTTTACGTTGCGTAAACTATAGGTGTAAAGGTTACAAAATTAAGTATGAACAACTTCTTGAAAAGTATAATTTACTAGATCTACATTCCAGGCGTCAACAGTTGGAGTGCATGACTCTGTATGACTTATGCAATAACAGATATGATTGCTCTGATATTGTTAACAGTATATCATATAAAGTCCCCAACAAAGTCCACATGCGTTCGTCACGGATTCACCACTTGTTTGCTACTAACACATGTCGCACTAACGCTGGTAAGCGATCACCGTTGTTTAGGTTAAAAAAATCCTTTAACAATACATTTAATGAATTTGATATACATGGTACACGTGTTGGCACTTTTAAAAAATTGATTATTAATAAATTAAAGCAAATAAATAATAATCATAATTCATAAACAAAAATCATTACAACTAGTGGGCAATTAGTTATAGCATTTATATTTGTAACTGTTTACATAACCTGTGGTTAACGGTGTTGGTTACTCATTAAGTCACTATTTGTTAGTATAATTAAGTACTATTTTTAAATGTGTAACTGTTTGTTGACCAAAAAAAAAAAAATATTATAATAAAAGTTAAATTAATTGTCAAATAAAATTACAAATAACATTTCTCGTTGGTTTTCGTTCAATTGTATACTCAATAATTTCGTCAATCTCGTGTCAATGGATTTTTTCGATATTTATTTATTTATATTTATATATAAAAGCGCACCGATTGTAGGTAAATAGAAGCATCAGATTATCCGACCACTACTTCCTTTTTAATTCTACTTTGAAACGATGAATCAAATAAATATCTAAAATTATATCTGCCACGAAAAAGAAAATTAAGAAGTATAACACTTCAAAAAAAGTTTGCGATCTCTGCCAAACAGCAAAAATTTAAATCAACTATTGTTTCAATTAGAAATGTCAAAAGTTTCCGATCGGCCAGTTGTAAATCGCAATTATGCGCCTCGACTCGGAAAAGACGCAGTTTCCGATCGGGAGAGGCAATCAAATCTAGCTGCTGGTAACAAAATAGTCTGTGGCTAGAGGTTTGACCATAAGTGTTGCTGAAAAGAGTAATTCAGCAAGCCTGAAGATCGCAATTAAGCCATCACAAATGTTGTACGCTGTTGTTGTTAGTTGTTTCTATACCTTCACAGCTACTACTGTTTTGTTATAATTTATGGTACTAAAAACGCACGTGGTCGGTTTTCCTTGCGATACAATAAAAAATAAACACTGTCAGGTAAGTCATATGGATAGAATTATTACTTGAAATATTTGTAGCACTGCTCCACGATGACAGGTGAGAGGTCGGTGAAGTTGTTCTTGAAGGTGCGGTCCATATAGCGATCCTTAGAGGCAAGCGCGTCATAAGCTGCCTGGCACTCTACAGCCTGCTCGCCGATCAGTGTCAACTCCTCCTGTAGCTCCTCTGCCTCTTTTTCATACCGTGCCAGATGTGCTCTACGCAAATGCAATAAAAAAATATAAAGGCCTTTGACTGATATTGTGCCTTTACAAAGGTTAGAGAACTTCTGGAAAAAAAATATAAAGTGCAAATACATAAAGTCCTAAAATATATAAAAAATATATAAAGTCCTAAAATGCAGTGTAAATAAATAAATTAAATAAATGGGTAAGTTAACGCCTTAAAATAAATCATGTAGAGTATAATTACCTAATATTATCTTGACACTTTAATTCTAAATATTATTCGAAACCAGAATGTCCTATCCTTTTATATAAATATTAGACATCACATACGTTGCTGTGATCCCAAAGTAAGTAGCTAAAGCACTTGTGTTATGGAAATCGGAAACAACGACGTTACCACAAACACCCAGACTCGAGACAATATAGAAATGTTACTTTTCTACACTGACCGGCCGGGGATCGAACCCGGGACCTCTAGAGATGGCCACCCCATGAAAACCGGTGTACAAGCCACTCGACCACAGAGGCCGTCAGATTAGTTCAAGGCCGTCAGATTAGATTTAGTGTAAGACATTGTACAAAGAAAGTCGACAGACCCTGATTGCTTGTCGCGGGTGCTACCAATATACAAGTGAATACTGGACTAAGGTTCCTAATTAAACAAGTGGTATCTGATATATGTACATGTGATAAGAACGCGCACAGACCCATAGCCCTGGACTAGGGAAACCCTGTATCGCAGGTGCCATGGACACACATAGATAATCACAAATTACAACCACTCTCGAGACTCACGACTCAACTCACGAGAGAAATAAATGTAGGCCATACTAATATTTCTCCCAGCCCGGGAATCGATCCCGAGACCTCTGCGTGGCAGTCCAGTATGGTAAACGTTCGTTCACGGAGGCAGATAATGCTTTATGTATGTAAAGGTGCCTACGGATTTTGCTGGACTTTTGACGATGTGATCGATCAATCAAATCGAGAAAATTTGTAAGCAGTAAACGATCAACATCGTATTTTTTTGTAGATAGACACTTAAGCCCCCAAACTGTATCTTTACATCTTCTGGCGCCATTTAGTCTAAATATGCAATTGTTATTTAATGTTTTATTGCCAAAAAACATAAAAAGTAGTAAGTATAGTTAGCTTATAGTTAGCTTCAAGGCATAGAAAATTCTCCAAGAAGCTCTTCAAAATATGTCCTATGAGGATACAGAGAATTTATTTATTATCGTAAAATAAATTTTGTCTTGTATAAGTGTAAATTTTTTTTTCTTGATTGGCAATTTATTGTTTAATTGTTTAATTTTATTTCATAAGATTCCCCTAAAAAGTATTTATAATATTAATAGTATCCACGTTTTATAATTAGTAGTACTTTTAACCTGAAATACAGGAATTTCCTAGTTCAGGTACATGTGTTATTTTTACATTAAATCGCATAAGTAGTCTTTAGTTTTCTCTGTACATTATGTTACTGAATAAACAATTTTATTTATTTATTTATTATTATAGTCACGTATCACACGTAGTTACCTTATTTTCTCGATCTCCTCGGACTCCTCGACGCGGTCAAGGTTCACACGACGCAGACGCATCAAATTAAGCGTCTCTTGTCCAATTACCGAGTCCACTCTTAACCGCGTCAGCCACAACTCTTTCACCTGTATCAGTATTAAATACGCATATTTAAATTAACATACCAAAGAGCAATACAATACCTGCTTTGTACTTTGAACCTTTTTCAAAAACTGATACCAAAAAGCAGTCGCTAGATCGCATATTATACATTTAAGCTACCAGTCTATATACTTTGGTCGGGTATAGTCAGGTTGTTTTAATTACGCCGCTTCCAAGATGTAGAGTGAGCTTGACGATGAGGTCGACGAAGGTGCCTGCGCACCTAAATGATGCCAATTCACTCTCGCCTTAAAAAGGCTCAAGTTATAACGTTCAGGGAACCAGATGCAGGCAGCGATTTCCACTCTATAACTGTTCGCCATATAAATGTGGAAGCGTGGACGCATCGTGCGAATCTTTGGAATATCCACAACATAGGGGTGGATCCTAAGACTACGCCTAGTAGTAGTTTTAACTGGTTATTATCCAGGCAAATTTTGTAGGCATTGTATTGTAATTATATGTGGATAATGCTTTGTGTGGGAATGATATTATGTGCGTTAATTCTTCTCTTTTTGAACATGGTAGGATGTAGCAGTATATCAGCGGCGCGCTCTACCATTGTACCAGGCTACAGACCTTTTTATCTCCCACGATTATTGTCTGTTATTAAACTCTGTGTGTCTGTGTGTATTGAGAAAAATAAATTATTTTATTACTATTATTATTATTAATATAGGCAGATGCTTATAACAGCCGCTGTGGCCGAACTGTTACCATACTGGACTGCCACGCAGAGGTTCCGGGTTTGCTTCCCGGGCCGGGAGAAATGTTTCTACGGTCTATGTGTGTGTCTCCCAGTGCGGGGCTATGAGTGTGTGCGCGTTATTATTATTATTATTCTGTTTACAGTACCTTAGCGTTGAACTTAACGATGCCCTCGTTGAGCACCTGCGAGAGCTTGGCGTACTCGGCGTGCAGCATCTTACGATACTTCTCGCGCTCGTCGCACCGAAACTGCACCTTCGACTCGTAATCGAATACCTGCCGTAGGTCCTCCTCATTGAAGTGCTCTGGGTCCTTTTCCAACTGTAAATAATGTATTTATTTAATAATAATACAATAATTAAGTAATGTATTTATTTCGCATATTGCAGGAATTTCACACAAAATGTTACCTACAAACATTTATGAGCTTCCAATCCCTAAACTAGGTAGTAGACATGTATTAGGAAGAGAAGATCTCCAAATCATGGCATGAACACTGTTAAATTATTATGGACAGGTAACTAAGGTTTGAATGACAGTAGAGCTCCTTGGGAAAAAGTTCGTCCAGGGTAGTCATGTGAGCATTACTGTGTTTTGGTTTTGAATTGTATGGTTACTGGTGAAATTACAGGCACTTGTCAACTCATCGTCTAAGGGTGACGCAACTGCAACTGCACAACATGTTCCCGTTACTTAAGACAAACTCACCATGCACTGTGGCATCGGAATGGGCTTTTTAATCTCCTCGTGCCAGAGCTTCTCGAGCACACCGTCCATCATCTCGTTGAGTGCGCGCTCGCGGAAATCATCCTTTGGCCCCGGGTCCGGCGGCACGATCACGATCTGCGACGGGCTGATGTACGGCGGGATAGTGCACTAAACAGAAACCGGCTTTATATTTAGATATCTATGCAAGTCTGGTACAGGGACAGGCCCAGCGTATGATTAGAGCTATGCATATTTGAGTAAGTCTGCTAACAGATTGACTGCAGGTTTGTAGTTAATGCCGTCGATCTCGACTTCATGCAGTTAATGCGTGAAGTCGTTATCAACTTCATTTTTTTTTAAATATTATGTAGGCAACAAACAAGCATACGGCCTGCCTGATGGAAAGCGTTCACCGTCGCCTGTGAACACCTGCAACACCAGGGGCGTCACGAGTGCGTTGCCAACCATTTAGGACTCTCCTCAAACCCCTTTTGAAGGATTCAATGCTGTATTCCTGCGGGAAAACTTAATGCAATCGAGACCTCGGCAGTTAGTTACGATTTCACGCATTAACTGCTAACATGGCTGTCAATCGGTTAGCAGCCTAAAGCGTACCTCATCTGGCTCAACTTTGGTAAGCAACTGCGGCAATTCCTCCTGCCGCCATTGTGGATCGCGGATTTGTATTAGCAAATGATGGAAACTGCCCCGTAAATCTGATAGCTTGTTCAATTCTGCAAAAAACCTAGTTCCTTAATAGCTTACTTTAAAAATTAGTTATCATGCGTACTGCAAACGTTAAAGGGGGCATTCATTATCCTGCATTGCAGCCCGCCTTTCCGTTCGCCGCGTACCTACTGCTGGATTGTGAATGTAGTGTGTGAGCAGTTCCTGTCTGCGCGGCGGACGGCCATGCAGGTAGTGAATGGGCCGTTAAAGTAGATTTCAAAGCAAAAACCTTCAATTATGAAGCGGAGACGCGTGTTGCGCTCCTCGACAAGCCCGACTTCTCGTCGCTTCGTCGCCATCAGTTCATCGAACTGTTTGTTGAACCAAAGGCGCATATTCTGTACATTCAGCTGCAATCCATTTACAGAGTTATTAATGTTATTATAGATGATTATCTAACGCTCACTCGTACATTAGATAAATAATGTAACTTCATAGTGGTAATACATGGTCACCAAAAGTGTATGTGCGTAAAGGACCTATGACGGCTAAAGATAGGACTTTTAAAAATCTTGAGAACAAAATTGGGCTTTTCCTTCCTCCATCCCGTATAGTATGTGAGATAAGAATAGTGTCTAATATAGGCTCGAAAATTTTTTTGTCCGAAATAACGTTTGTTCGAATTTTCATTACACCGAAAATCGAAATATAACAAAACAGTTGTTCTTTCAGGATTTGTTGAATGTTTATCGCAAAGACACGATTAGGTTCGGTTAGGTTAGGTTAAGTTAGGTTTAAAAGAAAAAACATTTTTCTTTCAAAATTACTTTCGAGGTTCTGAAATTTCGACCAAACGTTATTTCTGGAAAATGTCATTTCGGACAACTGATAGGTAACCCTAATATAGACACCGCGCGAGCGCTGCACAGACCTTGGCTAATCAGAAATAAGAACCGATGGAACGTCAAGCTCGTGCACGCGTCGCTAATTGCTTTATTACAATTTTCCTTTTCTCGAATTTTAAACATTAAAACGTCAGTCCATTTGCATCTTTATTTATCCAACTAAATGAAAATAAAGCTTATCGTTTGTAATCGTGTTCAGTTAGCACCTTAGAGATGTGTGTGAGCCAATTCATCTGTAGGAAGGAGTAGGAAAGTGTCTGTGGAATATGGAAGGAGGGCACGGACACGTATCGGTGCACGTTTGTACCAGCCAGCGCGTACGGCTGGCCAGTAACAGTCTCCTCAGCCTCACCGATGCTTTCTACCGACACCTGGGACTCCAATGGCGGTCTGAAAAATATAAATACCGTCAAGTGCAATCAACGATGCAAACTGACACTACCACCAGTCAAATGGTTTTTTTATTAACAATACAATTAACGGCGTCGTCTTTTACTGCATGTTGACATTGATTTAAAGAATAAATAGTAACAGTCCTAGTGAAAGAGTTGTTCTTGTAGGGAAGTCTGTCACCTTACCTATTTCTCCCACCAAGTAGTAATGTGAGCATACTGTGTTCAGGTTTTCCAGCGCCCAGTTACACGACGCGAGAGATATCGTGCGGCCGCTGCGCGGCGTCCGACCAATTACCACGCTTTCACGTACAGCGAATCCGAATTCTATTTACTAGGCAACATCATTTAAATTCCTCGGAATAATACAACCCTCGCCGCGCGAACGCCGCGCAGGCCAAAGACAAGCCAGGCTCGCCCACGCGTCTGGGACGCTCATTTAAGTTAAAATATAAAAGCTAAAGAAATAGAGCGTATTCTACGAAATTCGTGTCGAATAAATGCCCCCTAAGGGTGCTGGTGAATTTACAGGCACATGGGACTTGTCAACTTATGTCTCAGGGTGACGGGTGCAATGGCAGTGTGTATATATATATATATATATATATATATATATAAATATATAAACAAATTTGTATGGCGGCCATCTTGTTTATTTGAATTTCGAACATTTTTTACTTCCCGCGGAAATTGACCTGGGTGTATATCATAAAAATGCAGTAGGAGGTAGAAGTAGTAGAAGGTACACTATTGAAGTGGAAATCTCTCTCACAACGCAAAACATTTCAGTTGTTCCATATAAATACAGTACATCAATCTGTTAATTTTTCTTACCTGTAATTAAATCTTCGTCCTTAAAGTACTTTGTGCTGAATGAATTTTCACTCTGTTTATCGCGATACATGATTTAATTAAAATCTTACAACTGGCTTAATATGTTTCAGTAAATATTAAATGATTAAATGATGATTAAGATAAAATGACGCCACAATGCAAAAACAAGTGACAGTCAGATGAAACAAACTGTATCCTACAGTTTGTAGATGTTGTAATTACTTTTTCAATATTGTTTATGTAAGTGGCCAGTTCCGGAAACTTATAGTGCGCCCTATGTACAACATCGCTCACTGGCTAGGGACGGAGGCCGTGTGCTGTACAAGCTCCTCCACCTCTTCCCAAGGCCGGAACACATCCGCGTTGTTTTCCATTTCGATGGCACGCAACTCACGCGTCTGCTCCAGTTCTGGCCATATCTCGCGTTGCGTTGGCAATACCGGAAAATTCTCGACCTGCAGGCAACAAAACGGTAACTCACTCTCAGTGATGGTGATGTTCAAACCACCCTCGGCATAAAGTCCTACCTGATAATGACTGAAGATAGCGTAAATTTTCACACGTGGCGTGAGCATGGTGTCCCAACAAGTTTTCTTTATCCACAAAGTTACTTTTTCCTGCGCTCGAATGAGGACTTCTGCTTGCAAGCGAATCTCTTCGCGTTCCTTTTCCGCCTGAAAAAACAATGAGTATGAAGGTCATTATATCATACTTATAGTCACTAAGTATGTATAGACAAGTTTAACGGAGTAACAGTAAAGAGAAAATTACTTACCGCCTTAAGGCGTTCCTTTTTATTTTCGAGATGTAGGTTGAACTCGGAGAGCGAGAGCTGATGCAGCGGCGGCTCCCTGATATTCTCCTCAAGCAAAGTAACCAGCTGCGTCTTCAGGGTGTGGAACAATTTCACTACCTCGTCGCGCTGTTTTTTGTAGTCAAGTGACTCCTCATGCACTTTCTTGTCCTCTTGCTGGTCCAGGTAGTTCTCTGCAATAAATGAAAACACATCAAAACTTCTGTTATAGGTGCTGTTGAGATGTATTTAAGTAAGGTTCACTTACTATCGTTCTGTTCAATGATGTTAATAGTGTTAGAGGACTGTTCAAAGAAGCTTGGGTCGGGCGGGTCAGCTTGAGGTTCGTCGCGTAGCTCGGGCTGCATTCCATTGCGGTACATCACCGCAGCTGTTCTATTCGACCCCAGATGCATTATTGCCGAGTTTGTGTCATCCGCCACAGCGTCTATCACGCCGGCTTCGTAGCGATGGGATACTGTTACCTTAAACTCTGCGCCGATATACACATGTTTTGATAAACCATACAATAGTTAATTAATAACAATTTGTCTACATGTCGAATATTGCACCGTAGTGAGGAGGAATGTCGGACGTGCGAAGAACGACGTGGCCGTCCGCGCCGAAGGTAACCAGCGAGTTAACGCCGAATGAGCCGCTAAACTGCTTCAACTCGTGACCCGAATTTACTATTGGACCCATCTTCACTGCAACCGTTCCTCCTTTCTGTTGCCAATATTCATTTATCCATTAGTAAAAGTTTGGTGATTATAAGCATTGACCTATTTTGGTAGGTCAATGACTATAAGTAATAGATTTCTGTTCTTAGTTCCAAAATAACGGTACAATCCTAGGGTTTCGCAGAGATAAGCAAGTTGCCTGACTTTAGATGTTATAGATGTACCGATTGTTACGGATAAATTCTAGAGTAAATAATTGTAGGCACATACATCACCAGAGAGTTTCAATAAATGGAATTGACGGCTGAGATGAGGAATGGCGAACATGGTGTCCTTGAGAGTGAGCGGCAGCAGCTTCGCATAGGGTCCCTGCATTTTGCCAGCGAACTTGTTGTCCTTGCCGGTCTCCGCGTTCACACACACAATACGCTCGCCTACAAACGAGTGCGCTTTACTGCAGTGTCGACATCTATGCCGTCCATTAACTAACACACGGCTACGTGACAAATGGTCAAATAACCGTTTTATATACTAAAAAATAGAGCACAAAATTCTCTTTTAAAAACATTTAAAATTAGTTAACGAGTTCGACTTGTCGGAACTTACCCTAACGATGCATGGCTGAAATATTACTACAAATTTCAATATTCTGAAAGCGGGGTTATGGTTTTTTGTGACATGGTTTTTTATGGTGAAGGTAAGGTAAGCGGACGACAGATCTACGACGTCATCGGTCAAAACAACTTTGTAAGTCTGAGTAGGTACAACAAGCTGTGGCAAGTGTAGGTTCGTGCACTTATTTTTTAGTAGCAGTAGAGCTTCTTGTGAAAGAGTTTGTCCAGGGAAGTACTACCTGATACTTTTGATAGTATTCTCGAAAACTTTGCTACTTAGGTACTTCTCCAAATGCAAATTCTCTTTTACTAGTTCTAAGTTTGTCCACAGAAGTATGCCACTTTATCTATTTCTGCCGCCAAAAATTAATGTGAACGGTACTGCGGACTTGCCAACTTATATCTCCGGGTGACGGGTTCAGTGGCAGTGCCCTTTAAGCTGCACTGCAACTGTTATGAACAGGCGTGTCGCTTACCATCAGGCCCACGACATGTGCGTCCCGTCACTTGGTGTCATGAAAAAATAGTTTTGTTAGTCGGAAAAACGCAATTAACAAACCTATGACATATTTGTCAGAGAAAAGAACAAGGATGAAGGCACGCATAAATTCTCCCACTTGCATCAGAAAACAGTCTGCCAAGCCACGGCCCAGCTCTATGTAGCGCAACAACGTCAGTTTGTAATCCGTCGATATCTGCCCAATCAAACAATATACTTTTAACCACAATCATACATTTTGTTATAGATATTTTATTTTCATCAAAAGACGCATTTGAATACAATAGAAAGGGTGTGCTTCATTTGTTCGCAAATCAAATTTCAGAAAAAGTAATTTTAATATCGAATAATTGAAACTACGAAAGTATTGCTAATGAACATAATTTATGTTCCCTTTCACAAATCTACAATAAAAGAGTTAAGTACACTCGAATACAAGTATTGGTATAAAATGTTGAAGCCGCATTTAATATAATTTTACTTGAACTAAATACACTTCCTATGACTTAGTTTCATATAATTCTTGTTTATATGTGTATAATATTCACATTTTGTTAAAACTCTTTTTTATAAAAAGAGTTTTAACAAAATACAACAATACAATCTTTGAGGTTCCGGGTTCGATCCCGGCCGGGCCAATGTAAAAAACTTTTCCACATTGTCTCGGGTCTGGATATTTGTAGTACCGTCGTTTGTTTCTAATTCCCATGACACAAGTGCTTTATCGACTTTTCTTAGCTTTTCGCGATTGTTACACATAGGAAATGAAACTATTTTTCCGGAAATAGTTTCATTTCCTACAAGTGCTTTAGTTACTAAAATCCCATACGTTGCCAGGTGGTGACAAACGGGATAAAAAAATCTTAGTTGTTGCCAGTGGTGATTTCCATTGGCGACGAATTGAAAAAAATCATATGTAACCAGGTGGTGACAAATGGGATAAAAAGATCTGTTTTTGCCATTGGCGACAAATGGAATTTAATATCCCAGTAGTTGACAGTGGTAAAAAAAACAAATGGAATAAAATATCCCAATTAATGTTACATATGGGATTTTTTTCTCATTTGTTTTGCCAGTACAAATCACCACTGGCATCAAATCACAACTGAGATTTTCATAACCCATTTGTCACCACCTGGTAATATGTGGGATTTTTTTTCATTTTGTCGCCAGTGGGAACAAAGCTAGTGGTGACAATTGGGAATAAGCCCTAAATTCGACTGTATTTTTTTGTATGTATATTACGCGATTACTCCAGTATTTGTGAAGCGATTTTGATGATTTTTTTTTATTAGAAAGAGGGTACCTCAGTATTGGTCCCATATAATTTTGAAGAAAATATTCCACTTCCAAGAGTGGCAAACTAGAGGATGAATCCGGTTTCAATCACTTTCCTGTAACCGATTTCAATAAAACTTGGCAAGTAGATGTAAATCCACTAACATTTGAGGACGGTTTTTTTAAATAGTTTTAATTTAGATATTTACATGACATTTGACATTTTTACAGAGACATTTTACATGTTGTCAATTTAGATTATTTTTACGAGTATAGTGTAATTTTTTTAACCGACTTCAAAAAAGGAGGAGGTTCTCAATTCGACTGCGTATTCTTTTTTTGTATGTATGTTACGCGATAACTCCGGTATTTGTGAACCGATTTTCATGATTCTTTTTTTGTTGGAAAGAGGGTACCTCCATAGTGGTCCCATTTCATTTTGAAGAAAATCATCCACCTCTAAGGGTGGCTGTTCACGCATGAAGATTTATTTTTATAAATAGCGCCTAACCTTAATTTAGGAGCAATTATTTTAATGGTTGATTTTGCTATTTCTCCAACTCAAGGCGTTTTTCTCTCGATATAGGTTTAGTGAGACTCGATTTTTATTATCTCCAGTGTCAAGTTCTGTATAGTGTCGAACTAGGGGATATTTCAATAAAACTTAGCAAATAGACGTAATTTCACGTACTTTTGAGGTCGGTTTTTTATTAGATCTTTTTTTTATTAAAATTAGATTTTTATTAAAACGTCAAAATGGAAAATCTTCCTGTCTCTTGGCCTGGCTCCTTTAAGCTGGCTGGCTAGGTTAGTACTTATCTACATGAAAACGCACAGGTGCAATTCCGAGCATGTTTTAGTTCAAATTTAAAAACAGTTTAATAATCTATTTAGTTATGTAGACTATTCAAATGCAAATTCAAATTCAAAATAATCTTTATTTCATAGGTAAGCATTATTACACTTGAAATC